AATTTCGGGATGACCTTCTTTTACTCATCATATTGATATCTGTGCACTAAATCGGTCATAAATCTTGAACTACTGCTCTGATAGGCCTGAAATCACCGCCGTTGGAAAGCTAACTCAATTTACTATAACTTTCGTCAAGGGCTCTGAAGCTAAATCTCAAGGTAAGGCTTTCATCCGAGTCAATCTTTCAGATACTGGATCATCATTTCTCGTAAGGCAGACAAAACATATACCAAAATATAGACACTATAAGAGTATATCAACAAACTTTAAAATCTCCCAATCACAATGAATGAAATCTAAACTAGAAAAGGCTTGTAATCTTAGACCAAAAGAAAAATAAAATGGTAGTTATTCCCTCTCTGAATATGATCTCTCTTTCTCTTTGATAACGTGAAAGGCAACGGTGACAACAGAGCCGGCGCTGAGATATTTCAGGCCACAAGCAAAAAAACAAAAAAAAAGTCAAATTAAATATACTTTCATGTAATTAGAATCATACACTTTCATGTAATTTGAGAACAAATTAAATAAGCATTAAGAGGTTTCAGCTCAGAATTTTGATATAATAAACCCGAGCATCACCTGACTGTATATCCTTCTCTAACACTTGTGGAGTGACAAAGAAAACCCGTTTGCTTTTCCACAAGAAGGCTCTTTTAATCTGGGCATGTCTGACCCGTCAAGTCAATAGTCCATTCCTGCAGTTAATTTAACCCACATTTCTCAAAAATATATCTAAAAGTCTGATAAAAGAAGCAAACAAATTCTCAACATCTGTTTAAAGAGAATCACATACTCGAGGTATTCCAACAATATTATGACACGCCTCAATCTGCTGCATCACAAGAGGCCTAGACGGTGCCGCAAATACAATTTTACCTAACAACAACAACAACAATTACAGCCTTCAACTACATTTCTAAATCACTAATCAAGAGATTTTCAGATGGAGGTTTTTACCTTCTGGAAACCATCTGAAGTAATTATACATAACAACTGCAGCTATAAGCGTTTTACCAAATTTAGATTTGATTCATTATCCAATTACGAGGTGACAACAAAAATTAAGATAAATTTGTAGTTCATATTCAGATCAAAACATCATCAAAAGGATGAGAAACACGAACCATGTATTTGGTGGTGATGAACAGATCGTTCACAGCGTCGAGCTTAACATCATCCCTCTAAAGAACAACTCTAGCAACCAAATGTCTGATTCTTTTGAAACCTTGACAAAGACTAAAAACTTAGATTCCATATATCCAAATTACTGAAAACTAACAAAAACCTTTGGAATACAATAGGAAAACACTTACCATTGATTCTGATATTAATCTTCTTGTTAGCTACACAAACCAAAACAGAAAATCAAAGTCACGATCAGATTCAAAAAAAAAAAACATCAACGAAGAAAGCATAAATCAGTAGTTACGTAGATCAACAAGAGCGAGAAGCTCACCCATTTTCGAAATTGAGATCGAGAGATGTAGATGAAACTAAGAGAGATGAATGTTAAAAAAGTGAGTGAGGGTTTGGTTTTGGTGAGGATTACCTAAAATTGTCTATATTTCTCGAAATCGTTTTGGGCTTAATTGGCGGATGGCGGCGTCTCGGCTTTTGGCAAGAGCCTAAGAGAGAAATAAATAAAGATTTGGCTTCAAGATCGAAGGGAACCCATGAGCCACGACCACCAAATAAAGGTGGAGAAATGTCGATTTTATCTTTCAAGCCTCCTTCCCTTGTACTCGCTGGATTGAAATTCTTTGTCCCAAATCCAGTCTCGGAGAATAAGAAGGAAGAAGATGAAGAATCAAATCGCCGCTACTAACAATCTAACGCATCTCCAACGCAACGGAGAACCTTCGAACATAAAACGACATGACGACGATGTAGAAGACGGCGCCGGCGTATCCTGTTAAAAGAGATGAACAAATCTCCATTCTCTAATTCCTTATCGATGAGTACAATATGAAATGTCATCCAAAAATCAAGCTTATCAAAAGTAGATCGATCGGAGATTTGAACAAGAAAGAGAGAGAGAGAGAGAGAGAGATGAAAGTTGTAGAGATGGAACAAAATTGCAGAGATAGAGCGGAGAGAGAGATGAGAACTATAGAGATGGAGTTGCAAGATAGAGAGATGGGTGGAGAGAGACGCGAGTTCCGTCGAAAATTGTGCTTATTAGAAGAAAGGGCATTTTCGTCACTGCACCAATCCTCTTTTTGCTCTATTAGAGGAGAATATCTATTAGAGTAACAGTAGAAAGCTGGGTTCCTGCTAATATTGAATAGTAATTGTACTGCTTTTCTAATTAAGTTCTGAAAACGTACTACTTCTCAAAGAAACCCTTTTTATATATAACATGCTTTCATAGAAATACAGACTAACATAAATAATAACATAAAGAATCAAATCACATTATATAACATGAACCAAAGAAGAAAACACAACATACTTATGATTCTGTGACATTATCAAAAGTTTTAAGGAACCCAACCAAGAAGTAAACAAAGCATAATTATGATAGGATAATAAAATAGTTTAATAACGAAGACCAGTGTAATCCCCTACTGGCTATTATTTTCCTTGCTAATAGTATCGTTTTTTTTATCTATCACTATTCACTAATAAACTTTTTTGGAAATCCACGTCGCAATGGAAAACCTTGAAATCGCAGTTCGGAGCTGCTATAGTGTCTAAAATCATCTTCGCCGTGCGCTCTTGACTCACCCTGGCATTATTCTTTTCCACCAGCACCGCTTCAACGATCTTATCGAACCCTTTGCCTCGGCTACGAGCCACGAAATCAACCAGCGCAGCTTGTACCGGTCCCAAACTTGGGCTATACGCCACTGATTCAATGTACCATCCACGGTACAAGATCCCGTCCTCATCCCGCAGCGCCACTCCCGAGGGAGAGTCAGTGTACGGCGAGAAAGAATTGTTTGCCGCGGCTAGAGCCTTGCACTTCAAATGGGAACAATCTGACGAGCATATCTCTCCGGCAGAACGCGAGAGGATGAGACAGTTATCGCGCTTCTCGAGAAGGAGAGGGGAACCCTTTGGGAGGACGTCGTCGGGGGAGAATCTGTACGGAAGGAGGAGTTTAAGTTTCCCGAATGATCCTTCTGCTTCATGCTTTGATTTGAGCAGGATTTTGATGTCAACCTCGTTGCTGGTCTCCATAAGAAACTGGCGGCAGTTTCCGCACGGCGCGCCGAATTCGATGCAGTCATTAGAGATGGCGACAGCTAACTGACGGAGGCCTTTCTCGGAGTTGAGGGCGAGGTTGGTTACGAGGAATTGCTCGGGGTGGATGGAGTGGTGAAGAGGAAGACCTGGGAATTCGACATTGACGCCTAAGTAGACCCGACCCGATGATGCGCGTCCAACGGCTCCGATTTTGTATTTGGAGATTGGACCCCTAGCCAATGACATCGCCTTTCTGATCAGCTTTGGTAGTCTGATGGGTTCGGTGACACCTTCCGATGCTGCTTCGTTGGCAGTGAAAACGAACTTGTACTTATCTTGTGCCATTGCCCTGTTTTGAGATTCTACGACGAGATTTTGGAAATGAGATAACAAGTTGGGACGTTGGGCCATTGTCTCTGTCTAATTTAGGATCGTGTTTTAAGATATGAAATGAGATGAGAAGTGATATTGAGTCTTTGCCTATTTATATAGGTGTGTTGTGTCTGTTTGCATATTGTGAAAGTACTTTTTAAAACCGTGTTTAATTAGGTCATTCGTATACGCAAATAATAGTTAGTGTGTGAACAACAAGATTAAAAAAGGTGATTGTGACTATCTAACATTCATGAACTAGCTTTTAAAGCAAAGTAGTAATTAGGGTTAATTTTCTAGTAAGTATAAAGTAATGTAATTTAATGAAGAGTATTCTAGGAAGACTAATAGTCCTTAACTTTTATTTGGTAGTAACATTTAATGGTTTGAATAGTAATATAGATCAAAATTAAGAAGTTTATTTGTAAAATGCTAGTTCAATTGTCGGTGGATATATTGTAGCATGACGATTATTTATTTTGATAGTGTCAAATCTGATATAGAATATGTGTTCGAAAATTGCAAACTAATATTACCAGATATGTGATGTGTGTTAAGTGTATATGAATGCTTTTAAAATTTGTGTGTTTACCACGGAGGTAAAGAATTACATCCACACGCAAGAATATAAACGAGATTATGACTGTATCTCCGTCATCAAGACTCATGAACCATTTCTCAAAACAAATTTGCTTTTAAGTAGTTAGGGTTACAGGTTACTTAAGTAGTTTTTTTTTTATATACTAAAGATTTGTTAAAAAAAATAAAATTCAATAGTCTTAATTAGTCACAAATTCATGGTATGAATACTGAAACAAACAAAAATTGGGAATCTTTATTCTTAAAAGTGATACTAATTAGATTCATTGAATAGTGTGTGAGATTGTGACAATGTAAAAACATCTAAGAATGCTCAAGTCCATGATATACATGGATTTTCTCTTTGCCTTTGAAATTGAATCTTGTTCATAATTGAGCACTTGGGTAGATCATTTTGAACTTAAATGTATAATATATTTGTTCGAAAAATAAGCTTACACAACTCACAAATTCAAAGTTCATATGATTTTTTTTTTCTTAAGTTAATTCCAGTTAATTTTTTTTAATGAATATGGATTGAAACTTTTTAAGCAGGATAATTGTGTTACTTTGAATCTTGATTTAGAGTTGGAATTATTTGTTTTTCTTTCTTCTATTTCTGTAGACAGAAAAAAGAAACGTTTTTGTCTTATTTGACTTTATTTTATTTACAGTTACTCCCTAAAACTTTGTAAAAAACAATTAAAAGCCCCTAACAGAGAGAAACGACCACGTAGGAGTGGTTTGGATCACTAGACTCGAATCGTCATCTTCATCGATCGATATGCGACACATCATCTTCATCGTCATGTTCTCTCCTAAAAGTTCAAATCTTTTTGCAAATCAGACAAAACCCATCAATTAATGAAACAATGTCAAAAACGGCTAATTTTCTCAGCCTCAGATCCAATCCTCTGCCTCCGATTTTCTCCTCCACCGGAACTTCTCCTTTCCTCCGAGCTTCCTCTGCTCTGAATCTTCCCACGGCTGCTTCGAAACCTTTCCACCGTTGGATTCGCGCTTCTTCACGTCGCCGGTTGGTTCTTGGTGGTTTTGGCGGCGCTTCTTTGTGGATGAACAACAACATGTCTGGTAATTTTGGCGGTAAATCTTTCATTGCTTCCGCTAGGCAGACTAATCCTTCTCCCGTCGAACAGGTCTTTTACTCTCTTTAGCTTCAGTTAGAGTTTCGTTTCAATAGCTAATTGTTCAAAGTCTGTACCTTTAGGGATTCAGAAATCGAAATGTCGTTAAAATGTTCAAAGTTTGTAGCTTTATGAAATTTGAACTCGTTTGCTTGGTTTTAGGCGTTGAATAAGGTGGATTGGCCCGAGACTTTCCCTTTCAAAGAAGAAGATTTCCAGAGATTCGATGAGTAAGATACAACACTTCCAAGCTTTTGTTATAGTCTTGCTCTGTTTTCTTATCTTTATTGCTTGAGCTATAGTTTTGCTTTGAGACATACTGAGGTCTTGTTGCTTGTGTAATAAACTTGTCCTAAGGTCGTCTGATTCAACATTCTATGAAGCTCCAAGGTTTGTGACACACATTGATGATCCAGCCATAGCTGCATTGACAAAATATTACTCCAAGGTTTTGCCTCAGAGCGATACTCCGGGAGTGAGCATACTCGATATGTGTAGTAGTTGGGTATGTACTAAATCCAAATCCTTTTAACAATTTTTTGTGTGTGATAAAGTTTGTATTGAGAATCCTCTGAAGTTAGATTATTGGCTGTTATGTTACATAGGTCAGTCATTATCCACTGGGGTATAGGCAGGAACGAATAGTTGGAATGGGTATGAACGAAGAAGAGCTTAAGCGAAATCCGGTAAAGAAGATGCAGTACTATGTATTGTACTACTTAGAGATTAGATGAATCATCATATCATGGGATCTAATACTTTCTTTCAGGTTCTCACCGAGTACATAGTCCAAGACTTGAATGTCAATCCAAAGCTGCCTTTTGAAGACAATTCTTTCCAATTTATTACCAATGTGGTAAGACCAAACTTTCTCATTTATCTCTAAAACTTACAGTTCTTCATTGAAAACCTCAAGTTTTTACAAATTTGTATGTTTCTTGGCATTTCATCAATAGGTAAGTGTGGATTATCTTACAAAGCCGCTTGAAGTGTTCAAGGAAATGAACAGAATCCTTAAGCCCGGAGGACTCGCTCTAATGAGGTTCTCTTTAACATAAACCCATCAAGTCTTGTAATATACATATCTGCATGGTTTCAACCCGATCACTTCCTCTTTCTTTGCAGCTTCTCGAACCGTTGCTTCTTTACTAAAGCAATCTCGATATGGACATCAACTGGCGATGCAGATCATGCTCTCATTGTCGGATCATACTTTCACTACGCCGGAGGATTTGAAGCCCCACAGGTATTTCTGTATATTTCATCAACACACCTTCTCATAGAAAAGCCTTTTAAGAGATTTTTTTACTCTTTCTTTGTGATGAAGTTCTTTCAACTTTTGATCAATCCAGGCCGTTGATATATCTCCAAATCCAGGGCGTTCAGATCCCATGTACGTTGTTTACTCTAGAAAACTCCCCATGGCTTAAAGCTGTGGTCCAAACACTTCTTGTATACACATAATCTTTAGACCAAACTGTGATAGAGACCGAGGAAATTAATTCTTCAATTATAACAACTTCTGAAATCTTGTTTATAAAGAATGTGCCACTCTCTCAACACTAATAACAATGTCATGTAAAGAATCTGAAGCCAGATTCACGAACTTGACGATAATAGTTTTCTTCGAGAACTGGATTGTCTTTTCACAGATCCTGGAGCCAACACTTAAACTCAAGACTAACATGTCCTGGAATCCCATCGACTGTTCTTCTTACAATGGCTCTGTGATCTTGAGGTGGACCATGAGGAGCATTCGAGTATCTGAAACTAATGTAGAAGATTGCATTTCCAGCCATCAACTTTTCCTTTGACTCAACAGCTTCACGAGTCTCTACAATGACCTTCATAATCTGCAGCGGCACACAAGACTCGAGCCTCAAGTCTCCTTCCCACAGCGAGTATAACGCGATTTCAGTGTATAGATTAAGCCAGTTGTGTTCTCGGATCTCTGACTCTTGCACCTCATAAAACTGATCTTGCTCACTGCATGGCATCAAAGCATCATCCGATATCCACTTAGGTAGATTGCCTTTGTAGAAATCATCAATTGCTTCGCCATTCCATCGCTTTGGTTTGTCTCCAATACCTTTTTTACAACACTTTCCAGTATCATCAAGATTATGAAAACAAAAAGAAAACAACCCCACTAATAAATTAATTTACCTTGAATCTTGGGTTTTATTCTACAAACTTCAGTCAGTATCCTCAGGTCTTCATCGTTTTTACATGTAGCTTGTGTAACACATGTCTGGAAAGTGAAATGTGAGTCGTTGTCCGGATCAACAGCCTCAGCAGTTATATGGTAAGTCATAAGCGCACAGAATCTAGAATTATATTTATCTACGTGCATCAACATAAGGTTTGAGCCCTGAAATCAGTGGTAGAGAAAAATATCAAATTAATCACAAGTCGCAGATACAGAACACAATGGTTCCAATCTAGTTAGAAATATGAGAATTTTTACCTTGTGAAAGTTGTACCAATGGAGTCCCACTCTAGCGCAAATGCCAACAATGTCAGCATCACGATAGTAATCATTGTTAGCACTATTGTACACAAAGAAAACTACTCGGAATACGTATGTCAACATCAAATCCCTGCGAACCACAATCATTACGTACGAGAATATTATCAAAGTCACACATGAATAAGTTGAGATCAGGGAAAATATGTATCTTTACGTCGGATTCGCGAATTTGGCGATATAACTCTTGCTCCAAATCCGTGACCACATCATCATCATCTTCGTCAGTCCATCCATATGGTGGATCATTATTTACATCGGCAGACCATTCTTCTTTCGATATAAAACCGCTACTAACTACATCATCATCAACATCAATCATCATCATCATCATCATCATCATCATCATCATCATATTCGTCAGTCCATCCAGATGGTGGATCGTTATTTACAGCGGCAGACCATTCTTCTTCCGATATAAAGCCGCTACTAACTACATCATGCGACACGATGGTCTCTTCAACTTTCCGTTTGCGCAGCGGTGGTTCGTCGACTGCTTCCATATCCTAAAACAACCCTAGATGACAGCAAACATGTGGTTCATTAGCGTCGTGAATAAATAATGCAACACCAAATCCATGAGATACAAATAAATCACTTTGTAACGCTAAAAATAATTTTTTTAGGGTTTTTTTTTCAGACAGAACACAGAAGCCAACGTCGCCGTTTTTGTAGATTGTCCCATGATGAATATTACGGCGTCGTTTAGAGTTTATATCCAATAAACCAAATTTAGTTTCATACTTGTGTAATGGGACTTTTTCTTTGGGGGTTCGAAAAATCAAGTTTTTACCATCTTTTTCTGTAAAAATTATTCAATCATGAACTTCAAACTAATAAAAATTATGAGACCATGTCATTGTTCACCAGTTGAACACCTGTAGTAGGACTTTACTCTCTACTTTAATATGTTTGCAAAATCGCTCGTTTTCTCTCATTGATGGAGATTCATGACCAAAAACATTGTATCTTGCTTTAGCAAAAAAAAAAATACAAAAATACAAAAAGAGTCTACAACTGTATCACTTCAGAGTTCAGATTTATTATATACAATATGGTTCAATTAATTATTACGTTCGAATATAACAAAGAAGATAATATTTCTAAGGGCAAATTGATTTGAGATCGTAAGATTACTGCATTGACGCTATTAAAACGTACTACTATGAACCCAAGAAGAAAACACACATATTAATTATTTTAATATCTTCAGTTTCATAACTAAGATAAATGTAATAGCTAGCCCAACTAGGTTAATATTTCCCCTTACATTTTCCATAAATTTTTTTTATCATAATTCTGAGGACTAGTGATCATATTTTTTTTTTATGTTTAAGGGTGAGTTCCCGTCTCGTTTCTCACATTATTCTGAGGACTTCACCGGCTCCGGGCAATGTAAGACTTTGAAAACGCAGCTGTCGTGGGCTATCTTCTTTATAATCTTCCTCGCCCTGGCCACTTGACTAAACATCGCAACTCTCTTCTCCACCAGCACCGCTTGGACTATCTTATCGAACTCGTGACCGCCACCATTAGTCACGAAGTCAACCAGTGCAGCTTGTACTGGCCCCAATTGGGCAAATTTATATAACGCGGCAGATTCCTTGTAATTCTGTACTGGCCCCAAACTAGGGTTATACGCCACTGATTCCATGTACCATCCGCTGTACACTTTCCCTTGGTGATCCATCAGCGCCACTCCAGACGGACAATTGCTATACGGCGCGTACGATCGGTTAGCCGCGTTTAGAGCCCTGCACTTTAGATGGTTACAACTGTCGGAATTAACGCAGATCTCTCTGATGGGATTGGGATCAATGAGGGTGAGGCCGTTACGGCGATTGTGGTCGAGAAGGCGAGCGAAGTATTCCGGGACCTCATTGTAGACGGAGAAATATTTTTGCGGAAGGAAGGTCGAAAGAGGCATGGAGTTCTGGCGGAATAATGGGTCCGTGATCAAGATTTGGGTATTAGACGCATCTCGGATTTCTTGAAGAAAGTGGCAGCAGTGGCCGCATGGCGCGTAGAAGAAGGTGCCGCCAGCGAAGATGGCTAAGCAGTTGAGTTTTCGCTCGTTGTGGAGGGCGAGGTTGACGACAAGGAACTGCTCGGCGTGGATAGAGTAGTGAAGAGGCAGACCTCGTAAGTCCACATTGACGCCTAAGAAGGTCCGACCTGAGGATCCTCGGCCCACGACTACGCGGGGTAACTGCGGGTTTAGAGTACGAGCGAGTGGAAGCGCCCGATTGATCAGCGGCATAATGGTTTCGGCGGTGAAATCACCGGAGAATTCTGTTTCATTTGGAGCGAGAATGGAGCGCAAGGGTAGTGCCATTGTCTCTGTCTTAATTCGGGTTGTGTTGTGGGATTTTTTGTTGAGAGATTGGAAAAGAGATGAGAAGAGGAGAAGCAAAGTCTTAACTTATTTATAGCCGGTGTGGTGTGTGTTGTGTTTGTCGTGTGCATTTAGAATTGTACTTTTAAAATGGTGTTTACGTCAATCTTCAATCACATACGCAACCACACTACAAAATATAAAAAGGGTGATTGTGACTCTTAAAATTCACTATCAAAAAGACTTATGATGGACTCATAAACCATCTTTTTCAAAACTAGAAAACTACTGTAGATGATAGTAATGTAAAGAAGAGATGTAAAAAATATGGCTCAATAGTCTTAACTACTAATTAATAACATTTTGATAGTTTTATTATATAGCTATATAGATGAAAACTGAAAGATTTTTTTTCTTTCACAAATTGCTAGTTCATGCATATGAGTTGTACCTTTTAAGATGGTGTTAACGTCATGCACATATGTAACACGCACAACATAATCAAAAGGTGATTGCGACTCTTAATTATTAGGATCCACTCATGGATTACTAGCTTACAAACAAATTGTTAACCAAAGTAGCTAGGATTATTTTTGTAGTTTAGCAGAAACTAGATGTGGTAAAGACGGAAGTGTAGTAAAATATGGCTCAATAGTCTTTAGCTCTTAATACAAATATTTATATGGTTTGGCTAGTATAGATGGAAAAAAATTAAAAAAATTATTCGTGAAATGCTAGTTCAAATGTGGACAGTAGAATTGTAGCATAGTGAGTTACTCATGACTTCGTGGTGTTACAGTCTATATTCAAATCCAATATAGGATATGTATTTTTTGACAATAATCATTCAAGTCCATCATAGATATATTTTCAATTCTTTGAAATTGCAAACTTAGTTATAAATAAAAGTGTTGTGTTCATGTTGAATGTTTTTGACAGGGTGTATTTACGTATGTAAACAAACAATCACATGCGTACACAAGATTACAAAATATAAACGAGATTGTGAGTGGTATATACACTAATAAGACTCATAATGACTCATGAACCGTTTTCAAATCAAATTACTTTGCTTTAAACTAGTTATGATTACTTTAAAATAGTTAGTATTACTTTAGTAGTTTAATAGAAAGTAATGTACTAAAGAGTAAAGAGGTCAAAATTAATTCAGTGGTCTTAATTAGTCACGTTTTTATAACATGGATAGTAAAATAAATAAAAATTGGGAAACTTTATTCATAATGATAATTAAAGTAACTACATAGTGTGTAAGAGTATGTAGTTGAAACCAAACACTTGAGCAGCGATAACAAGATGAACCATTCTAAACTAATTAACATAGAAAAATCCCAAGTAAAAAGGAAACAATCAAGATCTTAAATTCAGGAAAGTTATGTAACCACAACAATATTACAGAACTGAAAAAATAGATTATTATTGATTCATTTCATCATCCATGCTGTCAAAAAAAGAAACTGATCTAATGGCTGACAATGAACTTGGTTGAGAAACCACAAGTTATAATGACGTGAACATGTCAGAGAAGTCATCACTTTGATGTCTCAGCTCTTTTTACAAGTCTCAACCTTTTATCATTTTAAGAAAATCCACTTTAATTTCTCCAACTCTGATTAAGACTTTTAACTTCTTACAGGAGGTTACTGCTTAAGTTAATCTTCGAAGAACTATTGCTAATGCTATACGGTATAATCTGCGTTAATTAGTTTACGCAATTTGTTATTTCTTAGGATTGGTTTATGGGAAATAATACATGCTTGTGTACTGAGACCTTTTTTAGGGTTCGATAAATAAGTTGTTTCCATCTTTTTCAGTAAAAATTATTCAATCGATCATGAACTTCAAACTAGAATTCTGAGATTATGTCATTGTTCATCAGTTGTACACTTATAGCAGTTTATTAATTATCTACTTTGATATGTTTGCAAAATCACTCTTTTTCTCTCATTGATGGAGATTTTCATGACGAAAGATATTGTGTTTTAACAGAAAAAGAAGTCCACTTCACATGTTTTTGCTTCAATTAATTCGTTATTTCGTTCCGATTCTTATGTAATAGAAATCGGACAAACACAAAAAGGTGACATATATCTAATTAGGGCAAAGTGATTTAACCCACGAAGAAAACCCTTATTTTATATTTTTATTATCTTCAGTTTAATAACTAAGACCAATGTAAATAGCCCAACTGGGTAATAATTTGCCCTTACATAATCACAAACTTTTTTAATAATATTTTAAACTATTATGAATCATATTTCTTTTGTTGAGTTCTCGTCTCGTTTCTCACATTAGTGTGAGGACTTAATTATTTTTGCAATGTAAGACCCTGAAAATGCAGTCGGGGTCGGCTATCTTCTCTAAAATCATCCTCGCAATGCCCTCTTGACTCAATCCCCCACATTTCCTCTCCACCAGCACCGCTTCGACGATCTCCTTGAACTCTTGGCCGTCGCCATTAACCACGAAGTCAACCAGTGCGGCTTGTACTGGCCCCAAACTAGAGTTATGCGCCACACTTTCCATGTACACTCCACTGTACACTTTCCCTCGGCGATCTATCAGCGCCACTCCCGACGGACAAGTGCTATACGGCGCGTACGACATGGTCGCAGCCCTTAGAGCCCTGCAATTTAGATGGTTACAACCGGAATTAATGCAAATATCCATGTAGAGACTGCTATCTATAAAGCCGATGCTGTTATAGCTCAGCTCGAGAAAGCGAAGGACGTTTTCCCGGGAGATTGATTCTTGCGAAAGCAAGGTCGAAAAAGGCTTGAATGTTCCGCTCTGGCCGGTTGGGTCCGTGATCACGACTATGGTATCAGACATATCTCTGACTTCCTTAAGAAATTGGCAGCAGTGGTCGCATGGTGCCTGGAAGTAGTAGCCGTTAGTGGAGATGGCTAAGCCTTTGAGTTGTAGCTCGGAGTGGAGGGCGAGGTTGGCGACAAGGAACTGTTCGGCGTGGATGGAGTAGTTAAGAGGCACACCTGGTAATTCCACATTGACGCCAAAGAAGGTCTGACCTGATGATGCAAGGCCGATGGCTACGACTGGTGATCCCGAGATTTGAGCTCGAGCGTGTGGAATGGCACGATCGATCAGCGGCCTAAGGTTTCGGGGGATGAAATCGCCGTAGGATTTTGTTTCTGTTTGATCAAGCATGAAGCGAAAGGGCTGTGCCATTGTCTCTGTCTTAATTCGGGCTGTGTTGTGGGATTTTATGTTGAGAGATTAGAAAAGTGATGAGAAGAGGAGAAGCAAAGTCTTAACTTATTTATAGCCGGTGTGGTGTGTGTTGTGTCCTTGTCGTGTGCATATAGAATTATTGTGCTTTTTAAAATGGTGTTTACGTCAATCTTCAATCACATACGCAACCAACACTAGAAAATATAAAAAGGGTGATTGTGACTCTTAAAAAATTCACTATCAAAAAGACTTATGATGGACTCATAAACCATCTTTTCAAAACTAGAAAACTACTGTCGATAGTAATGTAATGAAGGGATATAAAAATATGGCTCTATAGTCTTAATTACTCTTAATTAATAACATTTTGATAGCTATATTATATAGTTATATAGATGGAAACTATAAGATTTTTTTTAACAAATTGCTAGTTCATGATATTGAATTGTACTTTTAAAATGGTGTTAACGTCATTCAAATACGTAACCAGCTGCATTACATAATCAAAAGGTGATTGTGACTTTAATTAGGATCCACTCATGGATGACTTACAAACGATTCTTTAAGCAAAGTAGCTAGGATTGTCTTTGTAGTTTAGCAGAAACTAGATGTGGTGAAGACGGGAGTTTAGTAAAATATGGCTCAATAGTCTTTAGCTCTTATTAGAAATATTTTAATGTTATGAATAGTAATAGATGACAAAAATTAAGAAATTTATTTCGTGAAATGCTAGTTCAGATTTAGACGGTAGATTGTAGCATAGTGGGTTAGTCATGACTCATGACTTCGTGGTGTTACTCTATATTCAAATCCAATATAGAATATGTGTTTGTTTACAATATTCAAGTCCAGCATTCATATATTTTCAATTCTTTGAAGTTACAAACTTAGTTATAAATAAAATGTGTTGTGTGCATGTTGAATGTTTTTGACAGGGTGTGTTTAACGTATGTAAACAAACAATCACATGCGTACACAAGATTACAAAATATAAACGAGATTGTGAGTGGTATATACACTAATAAGATAATGACTCATGAACCGTTTTCAAATCAATCTACTTTGCTTTAAACTAGTTAAGATTACTTTAAATTAGTTAGTATTACTTTAGTAGTTTAGTAGAAAGTAATGTACTAATTAAAGCGTGTAGAAATTAATTCAATGCTCTTGTTTAGTGACATTTCTTATAGTATGAATAGGAAAATAAATAAAAATTGGGAAATTTTATTCATAAAATGATACTTAATGTTACTGCATATTGTGTTAGAGAATGAAGTTATTGAAACAAATACATCTAGTAACAATCATGTCCATGAGATACATTGATCTTCGCTTTGTCGTTAGATTTGCAAACTTTCTCATGAATGAGTGCTTTGGGTTTAGACCATTCTGCAGTGATTGGGAACTTAGTTTCTTGAGACACAAGAAAGTGAAGAAATCCTGAGTTTTATTAGTTAAATCAGATTGTGTAATTAGTTGCAACAACATATAGAATTAATACTAGTGGACCAAAAGAGCGTTTGCGTTTTAAAGAGCGTTTGCGTTTTAAAGAGCGTTTGCGTTTTAAAGAGCGTTTGCGTTTTAAAGTGGTTGACTTGACAGAGAATTCGTTTATTACAGTTGAGACTTGAGAGAGAGAGCGAAGGACAAAATGGAGGAGTGGATTCCACTGTTGGACATTTTCTTGAAGAGTCCATCTCCGGAGACCGAGGCTTCGCTGTGGCTAGACCAGGCTTCGAACTCTTCTTCTTCCTCCTCCTCTGCGGCGGCGCCGATCAACCGGAGCTCGTTTGTTTCATTGCTGAAGAAACAATGTGACCAGAATTCATCTCCGGCTACGAAGAAGTAATGCCCAGATTTTCAATTTGGATTTCTCTATTCCGATTTGGGTTGCTGATGAAATTGTTTTTTTTCGTTAGGGTTCTTTTCATTGAGACATTACCCAACATGGTTCAGTCAAAGATTCTATCTTTCCTTCGTTTCGAGTATCAGAGGTTTTTCGTTAGTGATTTGGTTTGGCTGGCTAGAGAAATGTTGGGTAGTGGTGGTAGTAAAGTTGTTGATTTCTGGGTTCAGAGAGATGCACAGAACCTGCTCGACAGAATTCCTAAACCAAAATTTGATTGGATAACTCATCTAGATTTGGATTCAGCTGATGATGGCAGTATTGGGGAGGATTTTGACTCTGTACCAGATTGGCTAAGTGAGAAGGTTGGTTCTGCTGGTACAATTCTTCCATGGCTTCCTGTATCATACAATGATGTAGATTCAGAAATGCTGGTTGTTGATTCTTGGGATGGGAAGGAGATGACTCAAATCAGAGAGGATATGGAAGAAGATCAGAGAGAAGTTGTGGATAACATTGATCATACCATGAATGTTGGGTTACAAGCTGATGATCATGAAATGGCGGTGAATCTTAGAGCTCAGGTTACGAACTTTGAGTCTACTTCTGGAGTTTTAACCTTGTGTAATGAAATTCGGAAACTTTTCTTAGAGAAGGGTAGGGACTCTTTTAGAGTTTTGGCTTTGATTGAGCCTTGGAATGCAGATGATGAGACTGCTGCGGTTTTACTTTCTAATTTGCAGAGTGGAAGTGAGGAAGATGAGCTTGGTTGGCCAAGCCAGGTTCTATGTTCGATTGTGCTTCCAAAGTTTTTGTCTCTCGAGAAGTCCGCCTCTCGTGTGCTGATGTCTTCAACAATCGAGTTTTGCAAGATCCACCAAAGAGCAGCTGAGTATGCATTGGTGTTCCCTTTGATACTCAGGAGAGAAGGGATAAACAATTTCATTTGTGAGGTGATTTCAAGGGTGTTGAAAGAATGCTTGCACTTGGGTCAAATTTCTGGTTTTTGCCAGAAGTTACTTTGTGGAAGAACAGAAGAGCGGAGGTTTATGTTCCTTCCCTGCCATCGAGAGCTCATATCGGATGAACTGATATGGAATGAATCTCTGTTTATCCTTTTCCAAAACATCTTGATCCATGACGTCCCTTTATCCCAAGACTCCGTTGATTGCCTTGTTTCTAAGGTTCAGGAGTTGGCGGAAAGGTATTCCAAATCGCTAAAATTTGGAAACTTCTTGCTACATTTTACTGCCAAATGTGCTCCGATGCTACAGGCTCATAAGTATCAGCTGACCGAATCAGTTAAGTGCACCAACAGTCTAGTTACAAAATCTATCCTATCGAAACTCAATGCCCTGTAGATCCTATAGCTCAAGTCTAGATAATTCCAACAATTCTCTGTGGTTTGACATCTGGAGCCTTTGTCTTGTCTCCAAACTTGGTGGTTAAAGAATACTTGAGGTAAACTTGAAACTTGAAGCCTCTGGGATACAAGAGCTTTGAAGCTGGAGATATAATTGCATCAGCAGCAAGATTTTAGAACGTGGCTATTGACCACTGTAGTAAGTGGAGTAATTATGAACCCTGTCGACCATCCCCATGGAGGTGGTGAAGGGAGGGCTCCAATTGGTAGAAAAAAACCTGTTACCCCCTGAGGTTGTCCTGCACTTGAAAGAAGAACTAGAAAAAGGGAAAAATATAGTGAGACTTTGATTCATTGTCGCCGTCTACTTCATGTGTCCCCCCTATGGCCCTATCACTCAATCAGTATACAGAGGAACGATTCAATAAACACAGTCAGGTTTAGTTCACTTTTTGGGTCTTTGTTTTCAGTGACAAATGGCTTTTAAGGATATTTGTGCCCACAGTGTTCACAACACCTGTGTAAGCGATTTGTTAAGCCACTGCTGATCAATGAATGCCTAAGCTAAGTCTCTCAGGTAACACTAAAGAATGGAGCCATTGCCTGAACTTGCATATCCCACTGCGACTCTCTGTGAAAGGAATTACAAGGCTGCAGCGGTTTAATATAAAAAAAATCAGCTTGATTTGTGTATATTATGCATGATGATTAATTAAAATTTAACATAATAACTTGATAAGATTTTGTTATGAGTAGATTACATTGGAACACCAGATATAAATAAATAAAAGGCAGAGGATAATCTGCAACATATTAAACTAACATGTGTTCAGACCAAATTTAGTCAATAGAGCAGAAGAATTTAGTTAGAGCAGCTCGGCAAGTCCGCAACTGGCACTTAACTTCAAGAAAAAGGTGTTCTGGATGCCCATCTGTGGTTCTTCTTACCACGGCTCGGTGATCTTCGGTCAGACCACAGTCCCTGAAACTGATGTAGAAGATTGCATTCCCAGCCTTGAGCTCTTGCTTTGGCTCCATGGCTTTGTACAACGACCTTCTTGATCTTCAGAGGTGCAGCAAACTTGAGCTTTGTCTTGGAGACAAAAGACAAGTTAGGCATAAAAATTAACAACCAACATTAATGTTTACACATGTATAACCAAAAGCCAGAGGCATGTGAAACAGCAAAACAAACAAATAAATTTCATTATTAAGGATTCAGATCTTCAGTTTATTACATTGCAACCAACATCTTAGATAAATTTATAGATACTGACTACTGAGAGAAAAGTACCTATACTGAGAGAACAGTACCTAACAGATATCATACTCAGGCCAAACTTCTAAGTTAATAGAACGACTCACAGATCCTTGAGCCAACACTTAAACTCAAGACAAACATGCCCTGGAATCCCATCAATGGTTCTTCTTACAATGGCTCTGTGATCTTGAGGTGGACCATGAGGAGCATTCAAGACTCTGAAACTAATGTAGAAGATCGCATTCCCAGCCATCAACTTTTCCTTTGACTCCACAGCTTCACGAGTCTCTACAATGACCTTCATAATCTGCACCGGCACACAAGACTCAAGCCTCATGTCTCCTTCCCACAGCGAGTAAGACGCAATTTCAGTGTATAGATTAAGCCAGTTGTGTTCTTGGATATCTGACTCTTGCACCTCATAAAACTGATCTTGCTCACTGCATGGTATCAAAGCATCATCCGAAATCCACTCAGGTAGATTGCCTTTGTAGATATCATCAATTGCTTCGTCATTCCATCGCTTTAATATGTCTCCAGTACCTTTTTAAAACACTTTCCAGCATCATCAAGATTATGATAACAAAAACAAAACAACCCACTAAAATCAAAACCACACAGTAATTCAATTCACCTTGAATCTTGGGTTTTATTCTACAAACTTCAGTCAGTATCCTCAGGTCTTCATCGTTCTTACATGTAGTTCTCGTAGCACATGTCTGGAAAGTGAAACGTGAATCGTTGGCTGGATCAATAGCCTCCGCAGTTATATGGTAAGTCATAAGCGCACAGAATCTAGAGTTATATTTATCTAGATGCATAAACTCAAGGTTTGAGCCCTGAAATCAGTGGTAGAGACAAATGTCAAAATTAGTAGAGGAGCAAATCGCAAATCGCAGATACAGAACACAATGGTTCCAATCTGGTTAGAAATATGAGAATTTCTACCTTGTGAAAATTGTACCAATGGAGTCCCACTCTAGCACAAATGCCAACAATGTCAGCATCACGATAGTCATCATTGTTGGCACATTTGTACACATAAAGAAAACTACTCGGAATACGTATGTCAACATCAAATCCCTGCGAACCACAATCATTACGTACGAGAATATTATCAAAGTCACACATGAATAAGTTGAGATCAGGGAAAATATGTATCTTTACATCGGATTCGCGAATTTGGCGATATAACTCTTGCTCCAAATCCGTGACCACATCATCATCATCTTCGTCAGTCCATCCAGATGGTGGATCGTTATGTACAGCGGCAGACCATTCTTCTTTCAATATAAAACCGCTACTAACTACATCATCATCTTCGTCAGTCCATCCAGATGGTGGATCGTTATTTACAGCGGCAGACCATTCTTCTTCCGATATAAAACCGCTATTAGCTACATCACGCGACACGGTGGTCTCTTCAAATTTCCGTTTGCACACTGCTTCCATATCCTAAAACAAACTCTAGATGACAGCAAACATGTGGGTAAGTGAATAATACAACACCAAATCCATGAGATACACATAATCGCTAAATGTATCACATGAGGAACAGCGAGACGAAGACTGGCAAACCCCTAAACAATTTCAGTCAATTCGAAATTACAAATCTGAAAGCTGTGGCTTCAAAATTTCAAAACATGGATAAGAAAATAGATCTACGATGGTTAAAATAAAAGTGAGAAGCAGATTTCACGAACCTGGTAATCGTCTTCTTCGTCGATTTTGCGGATGGCAACAACGGAGACAAGTAGGAGAAATTGAAAATAACGTCGCCGTTTTGTGTAGAGTGTCCCGTAATAAATATATTAGATATTACGCCGTCGTTTAAGGTTTATATATCGGTAAACCGATTTATTTTCATTCCACTCTACTAAGCCCATTTTGTTTAGAAGCCCATAATAACATGGGTCTATCAGAAATTAGAAGACAAAATGTAGATAAGTTTGAGAATACAGGTACTTGAGTGTAAAAACTAATAAATTAAACCGTACATATATGGAAATTGATTGGACCAATTGTCAAATTCCCGCTTATTCGTCGCCGGCTATTGTTTAATTCGTCACAAGATTTTGCCTTCGTCGATCGTCAACAGTAACATCTTTTTGCATTCCGTGTACAGAAAGTCAGAAACTATAGCGAACGTACGTAAGAGTTAGGTCTAGCTAGCGTAATGAAATCATAGGATCTCCTCTCTTTCTTTCTTTCTTTCTTTGGTATTTTATGTTCCCAGCAGAGATCTTTGGTTATTGATCGGGTCTAGTAGAATTGAAAATCGAGTTGTTTAAATGGATGCTAATACTTGGCGTATGTAGTGTTGATCTTGTTTCTTTTTTTGGTGTGTTAGAAACAACACCCCTCCGGTAAAAGGATAGCACTCTATGCATAGAAGAAGAAACAAGATTCATGGTTTCTAACTTACTTTTCTTTATCCGCAGGATAAATAAGCAAAAATGTCTTCAATCATGAAACCCAAAGTAAGTGGATGCCAAAGACTATAGTCTATAGAATGCACATGTACAAAACTGAGAAAACTCCTTAATGATTGTAGTCGAAACTTGGTTCCTTGTTTGAAACAGGAACTGTTATCCGTAACTCGAGCAAATGTGAAGGTTCTTGCTCACATTTTAGAGATCATACCAGTTGGCACATTCTCGCAAATCATGGCAACAACTCCTAATTCTGGCATCAAGGTTGAGGAGGTGCTCGAAGCAGTATATGCACGTTGGCGTGTATCACGGGTAATGGCACTTACCATTCATTTGTTATCAAGTATTTATGTATAGAGTTATGTAGACTTAAAAGGAAAAGCTTTCTCTTCACTATTTCAGCATGTCCAAGATAGCCTGAAAGGTACGGATTGGGAGAAAAAGATGTGTCACATGAGAGATCAAGGATGCTGCGGTAAAAACTCTTTCCAAGTTTTTTACACACACATATCTGCTTGACGATAAACTTCATAATCACTTTTTTTTTCCTCGCAGAGACATGCTGGGCAGTAGTGGTGTCGGAGCTTATTAGTGCGTTGCTCTTTATTGAGGGCATAGACAAGGAATATACGGAGTACTCAATCCAAGAACTAGTTGATTTTGCTGATCCGTCGAAAGCAGGAACACATAAAGACCGAAGACACTATTGTTACACTCTAAGTATAGGGAAAGGTTTGGACTATGTACTCAAACACGGGCTTCAAGCCTTCAAAAGGCAATTCATAGGAAGTATGTGGGGTGTAGACCAAAATCCGAGATACCAGCACGTTCTACAGTAGATCTGGCACATATAACTCGCGTGGATAGATTATCTTTCCCTGAAGCACTTATCAGACTTAAGAGACAACCCATTGGAGCTTCCCTCTACATATTCACGCCTGATTACGTGAATACTAAAGGGGTATGTATCTGTATTTTCTTGAATTTGATCTAAAACTGTTAAACTCATCCAACCATATGTGATTCTGGAAACATACTGAAACAGGGCGTTTATCGTGGCCCCATGGAAAAAGAGTCTAAACTAGAAGGAGTTCATGCTGTTTCAATTCTTGGTGTGACAGAGGAAAAAGGAGAAATGTTGTTCAAGGTCAAATCCACCCACGGTGATATATAGGGTAGGAGTGAATGGGTACCTCAAAGTTTCAATGGAGGTTATGTTGGTTCAAATTCCTAAAAAGGGCACGCTTCCTGATGGTAAGTTTGAGAAACCGACGCCATTGATCCATCGGTTCTGCTGTCCAACTATTATTCCTAAAGCTAAAGGAGAGTCTAGCGCAATGCAATGCGACTAAGGTTGGTAAGTTTCTTTTAACTTTCTGTTTCTTTTCTTCCAAGTTTAGATGAATGATGTTCGTGTTGTTTAAAGTTTAACGCATTTTCATCCTTCAGTTTCAGGGGAATTCTGACGCCAAGTAGATATGGTGAGAGACTAACATCTATGGCTGTATAAAGGAAACAGTGGATTCTCTTCTATGACAATTAAGAAAACAAAATATTGTCTTTTGTAGTTTGAACTAGACCTAGGTATCCGGTTCAACCAAACAGTTTTATTGGTTAAAAGAATTTTTTGTAGCTGTTTTGTTGACGCTTAATGACAACAAAGAAGAAAGAAATAATAGAAACGATATTGTGGAAAGACCAGACGAATGAGAATGAGATCTAGACTAGCTACTAAGAGCAACTGGAGATTTTTACAGGAAAACCTGATTTTTCCTTTACTCTCACGGCTAATGTAAGTAGGACACATCTTCAATGTATTATAATGATATACCAAAGTGACCAACCAAAATGAACTTTCCTTTCACTGTTTTAAGAAAATTTTGTGCCCACAATGTTCACAACACTTGTATAAGCGATTTTCTGTGACTGCAACATGGCGGATACTGCAGGAACACTGTACAGCTTTTGGTTCTGTTCCTGCAATAATTAAGTATCAAATACAAAATGTAAAAATGTTCCTGCGATAGATTCACAGGGTAAAAGACAGTGAGAATTGAGTAATAACAAGCACCATCTTCGTTAAGTAGCTCTTCAAGACTTAAAGGGACTGTTTCAGTAGACATGAATATCTTACGACAGACTGCTCTTCATCTACCAATGCCAAGAAACACTCCAAATAGACTGAATCTAAAGATGGGGAAGATCAAATGATTGGCTAAAAAGGGAAATGAATGATATGTATAGATTCAGTCTTAAAGGCTCTTCATCGTGAACTTGGCGATAATACTCTTGTTCGAGAACCGGATCAACATCCTCGTCTGAATCAGATGCTGGTGGTGGGACGTAACGTAATCGGATCCTTTTTTACAGGAACATACCTTCCTTCTTCCAATATATACAAGGTCCGGCTGGTTTCTTCGACCGACTTACCTTCGGCCGTTGGGGTGACTTTTTCGACCTTTCTCTTTCGCTGTGGAGGTGGTTCATTCGTCGCCATGACTCCTACTTGGTTGAGTACACGTGAAATTAAAGGGGGAGAGAGTCTTAGATCCGTATCCTCTCTAAAAAACGTGTGACTCGTTTTGAAATTAAGGTATACAAGTTACAACATATAAATTTGCCGATCCATGGTAGGTTACTTCTCATCCACGGTAGGCAGTGTTACTGTTATGTTTTTCTTTTCTTTTTTTTTTCGTTTCTCTAGTGGTGAAAGTGGTGGGTCTCACGAAGGTATGAGATTATTGGATCTCTCTGTTTCTATCTCTCTGTCTCTCTATTTTTTTCTTTGGTACTTGAGCATTTCGAAAATTTGTTTTGTGCAGATACTCTGCTGCCTCAGGCTTTCAAGTCCATCTCCATCTGTGAGTGATTTTAAGGATGTTGTGTGCCCACAAAATGTTGACAACACTTACTTACAAGCTATATATCAAACTGTATTACAAATCCAGTGATAGAAATTGTGTGGAACAATAGTAAGGTATATAGAGCAGAAGAATTTAGTTAATAGAGCAGCTCGACAAGTCCGCAACCGGACACTTAACTTCAAGAAAAAGGTGTTCCGGATGCCCATCTGTGGTTCTTCTTACCACGGCTCGGTGATCTTCGGTCAGACCACAGTCCCTGAAACTGATGTAGAAGATTGCATTCCCGGCCTTGAGCTTTTCCTTTGGCTTCATGGTTTCACGAGTTTGTACAACGACCTTCTTGATCTCCAGAGGCGTAGCAAACTTGAGCTTTGTCTAGGAGACAAAAGACATATTAGGCATCAATTTTTACACATTGTATAACCAAAAGTCTGAGGCATGTGAAACAGCAAAACAAAGAAAAGGCATACCAAGCCGTTTTCCCACAGCGTAAAAAACGCATAGTCAGCATACAAGTTAAGCCAATCATTTTCTCGAATGTCTGAGTCTTGAACCTGTGAAACACAAAATCAAAGATTTGAGTGAGAAAAAGCAAAACAGTCTAGCTACATACTTATTGAGAATCAACATAACAAATAATACTAGAAGATATTATGCTCTCACCTAGTAAAACTGCGGTTGCTTATAGCTAGATTGCGCTAAAGCATCATCCGGAATCCACTCAGGTAGATCACCTTTGTAGAAATCATCAATTGCTTCATAATCTCCATGACAATTCTCGTCCTTGACTTCAGAACCTTGAAAACATGCAAGAGTAAACAATGTACGTGATCAAACCACAAGGAAAGTTATAACCATTATCTTTGGGTTTGATTCCACACATCACACACAAACTAACCTTGAGTAGTTTCGGGTTTTATCCTACAAGTTTGAGTCGCTATTCTATAATCTTCGTTGTAGTAACACGTAGATTGCGTAACACAAGTTTGGAAAACAAAAGGTGAATTGGTGGCTGGATCTTTAACGTGTGCAGTTATAAAGTAAGTCACTAATCCGGTGAGCATAGAATTATATTTCTCTAGCCGCAACAACTGAAAGTTTGAGTCCTGCAATATAATTGATCAAAGATAACGATTTAGATAAAGAAAAGCGAATAGACAAAACTAGTACTACTTAATGATATATAATCAAGCAAAGACCACAAGCAGAAACAAAACTAAGAGTTCATCAAAACAAAGGGAATTTCTGACTTGATGAGAAGATGTAGAATACACTTAAAGATGTTCACTTCACACACGAATAACATATTTGTTACCTTTTGAAAATTGTAGCAATGCAGTCCCACCTTAGCACAAATGCCAATCACATCCTGATGATGATCAGCACATTTATACGGCAACACTGAACCATTTGGTATATATAAGTCACAGTCAAATCCCTTCACATCATCATATTACGAGAATATCAATCGTTGTCATAAAGGAGTATGTTCCCAATTCAAGGATAAAAAAGCTAGCCTAAATAACAAATCGGAGATCCTTAAAGATAATTTACCAAGCAATCGATACGCTGATGATAAAGAAAAAGAGTCAATCTTACATCGGATTCGCGAAGTTGGCGATGATACTCTTCTTCGAGAACCTGATCAACATCCTCATCTGAATCACATGCTGATGGTGAGACGTAACCTCCATCGGATCCTTTTTTTACAGGAACATACCTTCCTTCTTCCAATACATACAAGGTCCGGCTGGTTTCTTCGACCGTCGGGGTGATCTTTTCGAGCTTTCGCTTCCGTTCTGGTGGTGGTTCATGTTCATCCGTCGCCATGCCTCCTACTAGGTTGAGGACACGTGAAAACCAATGGGAATGACTGGAGGAGAGTCTTAGATCCGTATGCTCTCTAAAAAGAGTTTTGATACTGAGGTATATAAAGTTAAAACATATAAATCGGCCAATACGGGCATATTTCATTCGTCGCCATGCCTAGGTTACTTCTCATCCACGGTAGGCTATGTTGTTGTATTGTTAAGTTCTTTTTTTTTTTTTTCCGTTTCTCTAGTGGTGAAGGAAGCGGGCCTCACGAAAGCTTGAGATTTGTTTGACCCTCTGTTTCTCTATTTCGACTCTGTCTCTCTATATCTTGGTATCATTTATCATTTGAGCATTTCGGAATTTTATTCTGTGCAGGTACTCTGCTTTCAAGTCCATCTCCATCTGTGAGTCTAGAATCCAAAAAATTATAGCTTCATTACTCTGTATTAGAAATAATACAAAAATGACAAACCCAAATTAACTTTCCTTTCTCTGACAAGTGATTTTAAGGATGTTATGTGCCCACAAAATGTTGACAACACTTGGTTAAAGCTATATATCAAACTATTACAGATCCAGTGAAAGAAATGGTGTTGAGCAATAAGGTATATGCCATTGCTGATCAATGGATGCCTAAGCTAAGTCTCTAAGCTGTGGAATCCAGCCATTGTCTGAACTTGCATATCCCACGGCGACTTTCTGTGAAAGAATCTCGGATTGATTGCAACATTGCCGATACTGCAGGAACACTGTACAGCTCTTGGTCCTGTTCCTGAATTAAGCATCAGATACAATGTCAAGTTGTTTCTGCACTAGATTCACAGGGAAGAAGACAGTGAAGAAACTTTTAATTGATAACACATACCATCTTCGTGAGACGCTCTTCAAGACTTAAGGGGACTGTTTCAGTAGACATGAATATCTTACGATAGGCTGCTCTTAGGCTCTTTAGCTACCAATGCCAAGAAACAAGACATGATTTTTTGGGTAACACTCCAAAGTGATATTTCAGTTTCTTACTTCAAAAGACTCAACATTGGGACAGAGTACAGACCTCTGACATGGTAAATCCATTTCGTCTAAGTCCCTCCAGATTCAAACCGCGAAGTTCGGCTCTTTCTCCAGTCACCATCATGTACTTTGGAACATCTTGTGAAACCTATATATAACCGTACCAGTGAGTACCCGTTGGAAATGTTGGGCATTTGAGAGGTGTTTAAGGAAAATATACCACAGAACCACCGCCAATGAAAGCAAAAGAGCCAATATGACAGAACTGGTGGACCACCGTGGCTCCTGCTGTGTGTGTATTGTCCTGCATTCACCACATAAACCAAATGAAACCACGCTGCTAAATCCATGTTTAGAGTATAGACACAAGGAAAATCTTACTTGTACAACCACATGGCCGGCAAGAAGCGTATTGTTGGCAAATATGTTGCGGTCACCAATCTTACAATCATGGGCGATATGACAAGAACCCATGATTAGATTGTTGTCACCAATAACCTGTTCGAGTAATAATCATAACTCAAAAACATGCTACAACCTCTTGGAACTTCAATGATATTAGACAATGGCCAGCTACATACCGTTTTATCACTGGGTTTTGATGACCTGTGAATCGAACAGAACTCCCTAATTTCATTGTTGTTACCAATGCAAAGAAAGCATTCGTCTCCATGCTAAAAGAAGAAAACACAGCATTAGTTCTTGACAGATATCAGTTTCTAGTCTCTAACCAAGGCGAGATTAGGACGATTACAGAAGATAAGATAACATCTCTCACACACCCTGTACTTCAAGTCTTGACATTTAACACCAACCACGGCATGGTGACCGATAATGTTATTGCATCCTATGAATGTATAGCCAGGAAGCTCATCGCCAACAACAGCACCACTGGCTGACAAAAATTCAAGGCAGACACATAGCAAAGATCAATCAATCGATAAATTACAGAATATAAACTAAGAGATGAAAGGGTTTTATACGTCATGAGAACACAAGATTCCCCCAACTCTGTGTTTCCAAAGACATGGCTAGAAGGATAGAGTTTGCAGCCATTGCCTAGCTTCACTGAAGAGCCAACTGTACAGAATGGACCAACTGAAACTCCCTGTTCGAAACAGAGGAAACAACATTTGTCTGGTTAACCAATGTCTCAAACAAAGCATCACACTTTGACCAGGTTTCATCAAATCCATCTACTTATCTTGTTCTACTAATTTGAACATCTGGTTTCCCAAAGCTAAAGAACATTACTTTGCGAGTGTTAAGCTGTTTTTAGTCTTCCAAAGGAGCAGATAACTGTTTAATTCCAAACTAATTATAGAGCAAAATCCATATTCACCACGACTCAGAGACCAAAACAATGTAAGTGTTTGAATCAAACCTTGCCAATCACAGCATTTGGGTGGACGACAGCACTCGGGTGTATTAAGACTTCAGAATCTCTCGAATCTTCACGAGAATCTGCTCCAAACCACACAATTATTCACAGCTTAAGAGTAGAGATACAAAGTTTGCTAATCATTCCCACACAAATCAGAAGCGGGAAAACAGAGAGAAAGTGATAGAGGGATTTACAAGAGAGACTAGAGGAGAGTCTTCGGATTGTAGAACTGACGAGAGGAGAGAGAAGCTTCTCGCGAACTTTAAGGAGAGAACTCATGGCGGGCTACGTAGACCAAAACCAAACCCCTTCTATTGCATACATGGTGTTCGACGAAATGCCGCAAAGAAAGATAAACGAGAAATTTCACACGTGCCCATGGATTGATCACGTGACTTGGCTTTTTTTCTTTCTTTTAATTAGAGCTCAGCTGCCTATGACGAATTTGGTTGATTGACTCTTAAAAACTATCTGTTGGCATAATTTTCTTTTAAAGTGATAGTAGTAAACTATTAACTTCGTTTTTGGATTTTCAGTTTCAGTCAATATTTGATACATTTTTCTTTTAATATAATAAATATAAAATCGAATAAGCTTTAACTAGAATCCTTCATTATTCAGGTAGCTTTGAGTTTAAACGATGGTAGCAATAATTTCCATCACCATGAGATAATGCAGTCACCAATTAAGTGAAGAGGAACAAACACATGTTCTTCCATCACTTTTGCATCAATCAGAAACACTTTTTTGACTCTAAAGAGTAAAGAATAGTGTTATGTATCTTCTTCTTTTGTTATTGTGCTGACAAGTTGCAGAAGGATTCTCTGTAGTTCCTCTGCACTACTCCATTCCTTGACTTCTGCTTTGATCAGTAAGGCATTGTCTGATATCTTCTTCCACAGCGGATAGTTCGTTCTCGGCATAACAAAATCACACTCTCTCAGCTTCAATGTCGGGCAGAAGTCACCTCCTCCATCTCCAAGATAGATAAACCTTCTTGGAATTTGATCATTGGGAGAAGAAGCACGTATATGATCCATTACTAGACCCTGAAAGAACCAACGAAGAATCAATAGTCAAAATCCTAAAAACTGAATCCAATCTAAGGGTAATGGATATAGCTATCTATTTGTACCATCAATCAGAATGCTACTCAGATAGATTCTAAGGCTTTCAGGTAATCAGGTTACGGTACAACGCTAGAATTGAAGATTCCAGCTTATGGACTTGCAAGTCTAAGTAGGCAAACATGGAGGGCTTCTTATATGGTTTACAAAGATAGATAGGGTACCTTGCATAGATTTGAAGGGCAGAGATTGCAGCTATGTGGAGACAATGCATCACTATGATACGGCAAGATCCGCAAGTTGCCATTTTCATCAAGAGAGGTAGGATTTGTGTAAATCTCAGAAAAGCAATCCAACAAATCATGCTGCTCTAGTATCTTCTCAATGAAAAACTGATTTGCATCACTCACAATCTTTAAATCACATCTGCAAATGGAACCAAACAAACAACACTCAACCAAAGTAGCCCAAAAAAAGAAACTGAGACCATCTAAGTGAACTAATCAATAACATCATACCCTAAAGATTTGGCAGATTTGATAGCTTCAATAATATGAGAATCAATAGGCATTTTCTTCAAGCAACATTCAATGTCATCAATCGATCTACCTTGTGACTGTATCTCCATCATCATCCTATCCTTTTCCACAATCCAATTCAAAACAAATTTCAAGAAACATCTCAATATTTCTTAACGAATTTCGTAAATCATAAGTAATGGCTGAGAATTTGAATGCTTTAGTAATATATGAAATACCATAAGACGATTCCATGGTAAAGTGAAACGGAGCTGATGGAAAATCTCTGTGAGTCCCATTTCAGTGACCACCCCTCTGTCACTATCTCCGTCGATTAAAGTCCGATCGAAATCAAATATAATCACGATCTTTGCCATTTGTCTAGTTAAACGCAACGCCGGAGCTCAGCTTCTCGCCGTCTCTGCAAAATCACTTCTCCTCTTTCCTAATTGGTCAACGGCAAAATCCAATTGTCCGACGCCACTTTTCCTCTTCCCAAAGCCAATTTTACCATTCTCTGTCCTATTAATTACATTCGACCCATCCAATCATATTAATTAATGGGCCTTAGTGCCTTACGTTAGGCCCATTTCATAACCAGTTTTTTGCTTTGAGCCGAAATAATTATCACACATACACAAAAAACAAAACAGTAATTATCTTACATGGTCGAGAAAGTGGACCCAAGTTTCGTGTCAGCATTCCAACAGCCAATAAGATTGCAGGAAACACGTTAACAAGCGTAACATCGATTCCACTTCATGAACACGGCACAGTATCAAAACCCAAAGAAATCTTTAAACCCATGATCTTCTAGATAGAACCCGTGAAAGAATTTGATTAAAAGTCCCAAACTTTCCAGCTTCTGACTTCAATGGTTGTGATGATGAATCGAGTTCTGGTAGCTCTAACATTAGCTCTGTTAGCTTCGTCGGCGTTATTACCGGTTTCCGATGCGGCGAAGAAACCGTCTTCGGCGCCGAGAAAGGAGGATGTTCCGTATATAAAGTGTCAGGTTTGCGAGAAACTAGCCTCGCGGTTACACCAGCTAGTGAAGGAGAAGCAACAACAGATCTCTCCCAAGAAGGTTGATTTTTTTATGTAAAGCAGTGATCTTTCTATTTTGATTTGATGTGTTTCTGGTTACTGAAATTTGCTGCTGGGAAAAAAATGGTAGATCTCGGAGTATGAGATCATTGAGATTGCTGAAAATGTCTGCAATTTGAAGAAAGAGGAAGCTGATTGGATGCTTAAGATTGACATTGTTGAAAAAGGCGATAAGCTTGTGGTAAATGGATTTTTCTACCTCTCTGTCGCTTATTTGATCCAAAATGATTCCATTGTAGCTTTTGAGATTGAATTAAGTGGAAACTTGTACATACATTTGTTGTTGAATCTCATTGCTGGTGACTCTGTTAACAATTTGATTGTTTTGACTTTGGGTTCGTAGCTGGTTGAGCAAGCAGAAGAAGGGATGTGTAATTCCAAGTGCAAGACGATTGAGAATGCTTGTCAAAAGGTGAGCATAATGTTGTCTTTCAGCTGTTAATACCATTGCATTTGCATTTCTTGGAGTATTGTGTGATTTTCATCTGTTGGTGTGTGTAATAGGTCATTGGTTACTCAGACACTGATGTTGCAGAGTACATATACAAGTCTAAGCCTGATCTTGTTTCCCTGGTGAATCATCTATGCAAAGACCTGACCGATGCTTGTAGCAAGAAACCTCCTCCTGTTCCTAAGGTACCTTTCATTGAAACTGAAATGTGGATCCTTGGTGATTTGGGTCCGTTAATGTTCTTATGTTGTTGCTGTGGAGATGACATTTTGATGAAAAGATAGAAACTTTGTGTGATAAGTGTTTCTTTATCTTTGCCAGGATCGGGTTCCTGGAGAACCATTTGTTGCAAAACCATCAAAAGATGCTGAAATGGACAAGATTTTGAGATCTATGCAGGTATCTTTGATGACTTTAATCAATCTTGTCCCCATACCATCAAGCAAGACATGAATATCCATGGAATGATCTTAAGCTAACTCTGATTTACCGCTATCTTGTTTAGGGTATGCCAGGAGCACCTGGCATGAAGGTATACTCTAGAGAAGATATAGAGAAGGGGAATATCGGTAATGAAGATGACGATGGCGACGATGATGAAGATGAGGAAGAAGATGAAAAGTTTCCCAAGAACTTGGTACATAAAGTTTCTGTTTTCAAATGATCAAATTTTTGGGTTAAACTTTCATGAAGAATCTTCCATTCTTTTCTCTAAAACACTTTTATGGTTTTGTTGTTTTTCAGGGAAAAGTTTTGAAAGAGAAAGAGAGTAAAACGGAAGAACTGAAGAAGACAATCGCCAAGGAGTTCAAGAAGCAAGGTGAGGTTCTAAAGAAACATGCTCAGAAAGTGTCGAACCGGGTCCGGAGATGGTGGAAAGGACTTAGAACGTCTTCTTCAAAGAAACCTAAGTCCGGAAAGTCTGAGCTATAGAAACAGTTTTAAACTGGTTTTGTCTTAATGTACTACTCTTCTTCACACTGGCTTTTTGTAGAGTTCGTTTAGTTTCTATAATCTTTTGGAGAGAATATTGAAAGTGTTGAGACTTGAGAGACATCAGTTCTGTGATACAAGAAGGAACATATACGAGATGGTTTAGAGCAAAATCATTAATTAAGCTTGAGAAGAAAAACAAAAACAAATGTTGCAATGTGAAGCAAATGGAAGGTTGTAAATCTGGAAAAAAGAAAGAAATACAAAATCTAAATCACAGTTTGACAATTGAATCTTCTCCGTTACAGCATCTGAAGTTCTGCTTCTTATGAGAGAACTTTAACGCATTTTGTAGTGTTGGGTCCTTGAGATCTTGCAATGCTGGCCATTCAAAGAATAGCTTAGCTTTATGTCAATGTCTCGAGGATTCTTCTTGTTAGGAGAAACGGACATGGTTCCAGTGATTGTCTCACCCTCGCATATGGTTAACACATCTTCTAGGTACAGCACTGTTTGTTTCCAGTGTGTAGCTCGGGATTTCGGTCCTGTATTTCACACACATGGTTGTTCAGTGTAAGTTTCAGACCACAATGAAACAATGTGTCTATGTTTAAACTTCAAACCAAGTTATTCAATAACATGCCAGTTCCTTTGCACCAAAAAATAAATAGAATACTCAGAGCTAGCAAAAGATTGTAGAGATCTGAACCTGTTGAGAAACCCAGCAGCTTGTGGCACATGGTAAACGATACATCAAAGTAGGCTACAAGGGCGTGGATGTAGTCATTGCGTTGAGCAACAAGCTTAAAGGGAGCTGTGAAGGAAGCATCACCAGAAGACATCTTTGAGATATCCATGGTCTGTTACAAATCCATAAGAAAATGAAATGAACATTAGCCACACAGAGAAAGAGAGACTACTAATCATCATCATATGTATATCTTATACCTTTAGAAGCCTACTATCGGTGACGATTTGGTTTTGGTCGACTGTGTCAACAAGTGGTTCCATCATAGCTTTTTTCTTGATACATGACATGTCAAAACCATACACACTGTTCCAAACTGTAGTAGACCAACACAAAAGCTATTTCAACAGACGGGAAGAGGAATGATGGAAGGAAAAAAAGACTAGAAAAGATGTCAAATCGATGCACTCACATTCTATTTTGTCTTCTTTGTACTCTGAATCCTCTATGGCTGTAAGATGCAGGGAGGCTTTGTCTGGTAGCACAACTCCACCATCAACCTATCCATAAAAACAGAGGACCAAGAAGATTTCATGGTTATTCCAGTAACAACATGAACTTGCAACAATTAATTGTTGACAATTCCTTTTGGTAACTAAGAATCTCATGTAACAAGGTAGAGCTGTAACTTACAAGCCATTTATCACGAGCGTATAAGACACTATCCAACATATTTTCAAACAACAAAAAGTAACCCATCCATTCAGATATAATCACATCCACTTTAGGAGTGGGAAGCTCTATCTCCTCAATCTTCCCTTTCAAAACCGTAATAACTACATCGATAAAACAAAAATCGTCAAGCGGTTACAGAACAGTCGTTTTCCATTTGAATACAACTCAACATGAAAAAAAACATTAAAACCAACCATCAGAAAATCCATTGGCTTTAACAATCTCCTTTGCCATGTCAGCCATTTGCGAACATTCAACCTAATAAGGAACATTCTCAATCAAATCATTCAGATTGAAAGAGATTCTCACATATGATAAAAAAAAGAGACTGAAAGATTTGAAAACATACAGCGTAGACATGAGCTGCTCCTGCCTTAGCACAGAACAGAGACAAGATTCCAGTTCCAGCTCCAACATCAAGAACAATTTTGTCCTTGATAAGAAACTTGTTCTGGTAAATAACATTCTGATAAGTCTTTGTTCTCACTACATCCTTTAACATCTCCTGTAAGATACCATCCTCAATTCAGTCATCAGATAGATACAGAAGAAACACACTGAATTACATTAAACTTCCACAACAGAAACTATCACAAAAACAGCTGAGCTTTGTTTTCGATACTTACTTCATGGATTCCTGCAAAATAGTGGAACCAAAATCAAATATTTGCAAAGATTCATAACCAAAGAGCACAAAAATTGAACTTGAAAAAAGGGTATTTACCGAAGTGAGAGTAAGAATCGAAGTAGTAGTCGGCGCTGGTGGTATCATCAGTGACATCAGCGGTGTCGGCGCTCTCTCCGGCGTCGAACATGGATTCATCTTGGGCAACTTCCTCGCCGGCAACACCAGACCCTTCAGCAACTTCGTCTTCATCAGCATCTTCAAAGCGTATCTTCGTGTTCTGATTCGGTTCAAAGCTGATGAACTCATGCTCGTTGTCGTTACTGTTCTTAGTCATCTTTTTTGCTCGGTCTCGAACAAGAGGGAGACGAAAGAGAAGGGTTTTGGGGATAGAGACGAAGTCGCAAGATTAGGGTTTTAGGAAGACACAGAAGCTTTTTATTTGAAGTCTTTGCTTTTGTTTTTTCTCTCTCCGGTTAGTGAATTTTATATTAGAATTAAAATCGTGCTCAAGATATTTTCTGTACCGGTTCGGTTTTCGTCGACAAGCACCAATCAATCGGTTAATATCCGACCACACAAACAAGACACTGAAACAAAATAGAGTAATTAGTAAAACACAGGCAATAGTTCTTATTCCCATTAACACAAAGGTTGTATTATTATTGAGTTTCTCGTATCAAGTTTTTACTTTCCCTAGGCTAAGAGTAGTTATGATCACTTGGTCGGTGGCCAAGGCCCTCCAGCCATCACAGCTTCGATCTCCCATGTCTCCCGCGGAACATTCGTCATGTTCTTGCAGCCATTCGCAGTAACGATCTACCAAAAAAATCACACAGATACAACAACAAAAATGAGATTATTGTATATGACATTACGCTTGAGAGAGTTTTTAACTTTTAGACGTTGTAGTGAATATGTATTTGACATTTACCAAATCACTTTCGATTCTGACACCTCCGAAATTTCTGAATCTCTCTATTGTTTCACGGTTGAAGAACTTAGAGGTTGTTGCGTTTTCCATGGCTGGGAACAGCAATGCCTTGATGAAATAGCATCCTGGTTCCACCGTTATTACCTGACATAAATACCATTAGGACAATAATGGGAAGAACCAAAAGCATTTTTACTTGAAACAATCAGCCCTTACCATTCCTTCAAGAAGGTCTCTTGCAGTGCGTAATGACTTCAATCCAGGCTCCTTTGGTCTCTCCACTCCCTAAAAGAAAGAAAAATCAAAGCAACGGGTCAGAAATAAGGACCGTGATTTTATTTACTATTGGGTGAAAAAGTGATTTGATGTACCTTTGGGTAACCACCGGTATCATGTGTGTCAATGCCCATGAAGTGACCTAGTCCATGAGGCATGAAAACAGCACCTAAGCGTTGTACCATCATGTCGTCCACATCACTAGGAACAAAGACGAAACCGTAACAGAGAAATTTAGATTTAGAGAAGAGCAAACAAAGTTGCAAATATACGAATGTCTAAAAGAGTGAGTTACCCAGTGAGGATGGACCCCTTCTTCAGTGACTCAAGGATGATTTTTTCGGCTAACCTGTGCATGAACTTGTTTCAGTTGGAAAATAAAGCTAAAAAACCATATGGAGATGTAGTTCAAATTAGACCAAAGCAAACTGAGAATACAAGCTTAAGTTCATAGTCAGTCCCAATTACAGCATCTGCATGCATACAAAGCTATGTAGCATCTCAGTCAATCTTACTTGTGCATATCCACCCAGTTTACTCCTGGCTTCATCGCAGAGATTACAGAATTATGAGCATCCAGAACAGCCTGAAACGAAGGCAAATCAAAGAAACCTAAATAGTTATAATGCTCACCAAACTCTGGGTTGTGTGAAAAGTTGACAAAATAAAGCACACATTTCTACTACATCCACATTGGACCATTCTTGTAAGGTACTTACATTGTAGATTAGACTCTGGTCGCTAGTAAATTTACCATTGACCTGCACATATTTGATGATATTAGTCACCACTTGCTCTACATGACTAGATTTAACACATTACGATGTTCACGTAAACATGATTAAAACAATTCAATGCGGTGCAAATACAATTCTATAACACTTTTAAGGATATTGAGTAACAAAACCTAAAAGGAAAATTAATAATAGGTCTGACTAGAAACAGAACTCACGGGGAATGAGCATGTTATGTCAGACCCATAAAAATGGTATTCAGCACCCATATCAAGTAATGCCAAATCTCCGTCTTCGAAAGTCTGCAAGAGGTAATAGAACATTTTCAAACAAGGAATACTACGAGACTTTGAAAAACGCGGAGAATGGTTGCTCTTCTACCCTATCATTTGGAGCCGCAGCATGCCCATAATGAAGAACAGCACTGCAAACAAACAATTTAACTATTTTGTTAGTAAACATAGAAAGATATGAAAACCGAGAATTCTTATTTCTGCATTTTCAGCAATAACAAGATTCAATCCACCAAAATCTACCTGTTATCCCCTGTTGCACAAATACATGTGTATGAGCAATGCCTACAGCCACCATACATGTAGCTGTGGTGCAGAAACATACTTTCCATCTGATATTCCTTCATGCCAGGTGTGACTCTCCTCATAACCTGATGTGGATACATAACATGGTTAAAAGTAGGAAACATGCAAGATAATTGCAAGAAGGGAAAAGAAAACGTCAACAAAGAGTGGATAAGAAGAGTTAAGGTCGGAAACCTAAGTAGTGAAATGATATTAAAAAGACAAATTTTGAACAAGCCAACAGAGATGAACATCATTACATCAATTTATCTCATTCAGTGGTCAACACGTACCACTTGAAAAGGAAAGAATAAATTCAAGAGAAAAAATGTTAGGAAATAATATCACACCTCTATATGAGCTTCAGAACTTATATCATTTGCAAACTGTATTAGTTGAAGCTCCAAACTTGATTTAATAACTCGACATTCCGCCAATAGAGGATGTAAAGTAGTCAAATCAGTCTCAAACTTTTCTATCCCCTGAAATAAGACACGAAACAGTAAAAAAAAGTACAAATGAGATTCAAACATCGAGAAAACACTATGAGCATCAGAATTCCAAAATTCTTCATCACAAGACATGCCAGAAGATATTCATTTTCAGGATCAAGACAAGAAAAGGCAAGACCAAATCTGCAGAGCAAGTGAAGGACAAAGGAAGAAATGTAGAAACCTCAAAGCTGGCAGGTTTTGAGAAGTTACTGCTGTCGGTGTTAAGACCATGCAAGAGATACAACAAGGGCTTTCCAGATCCCTTAAATTGTTCATTAAAAACTTGAATAATCTCATCCACATAGAAAACCATGTCAACCATATATGTTTCCTGCAATAAGACGCACAAAATGCCATCACTATGAAGAAAAATTCATACATTAAACGAATTAACAAGATAACTCAAATAATTACCTTAAAATGCGACAACGGCTTTATCTCCCCCAACCAGACAGCATAATCATCAGGCAACCTTGGAATAAAAAGAATAGATTTCCCACTTCCAACGTCCTTCCAATATCGAAAGAGAATCAATTTCATTGGTTAAGCAACATATTTAGAATGAAAATGGTTACCGGATCATATGTTCTTAAGAAATGTAGAAGAAATAGCTGCAAAACTCACAATAGCTCCATAAAAATCAGGCTCTCTGACTCCAAACAAGTAAGCAAAATAACTCTCCTGCCTACAAATTCAATTCAATTCAACAAATCAATATCATCTAATTTTCCACTCAATACATTGAAAAGATTGAAAGATAAGAAACCTAGTACAATTTCAATCACCTGAAGAGCTCGGTGTGATCAGTGCAGTATCGATTTTTCTCCTCGCCACCCTACCGTCCAAAATCAAGAATACCACGAAAGACTATGAAAGCTAGCTCGGATCATCGATATGTGTTGGAAAATATGAAAATACGAGCTAATCAAGAGTACCTGTAGAAAAACGAATCCATCTAGAGAACGATTGGAATTAGATAAGTGACGGCGCATTGAATCAACGAGCTTTTGCCGGTTACCGGCGTGGAGCTCCATAGGAATCGGTGGAGGAGACAGAGTCGACATGACGACAATTGGGCTATTTTTGGTTTTTCCCGGCGAGGCCTAATAATAAAAGCAAAATTTTCAAAACGTTGTCGTTTCAAAGCTTGAGGAAAACGTAAATAAACGACGTCGGTTTAAGATTGTTAAAGAAAACGACATCGTTTACAATCGAAACGCAAAATACGCCGTCGTTTAACATAAAGAAGAGGAGTGACATATTTTACGCAGTTGTTGTTGAATCAGTGGCCCGAAATCTCGAATCGACTCATCTCTCAGCTCACCGGCGCTGCATTATCAATTGCAGGAAGGTACGGCGAGGTTCTGGTAACTGACCGATGTTTCTCAATTGGGTTTTATAAATCTAGGGTTTTGCTCCTGCTTCTCTTGTATATTGTATGCTTTGTGGTTTGACTTTTAGATCTATATCTGTGATCTCTTCTTGCTTCGATAACAATTTGTTCCTTCTAGGAGTGACGGATTTGGAATTTTGATGAGCTTGGTTGATTCACACTGGATTTCGTTTGATCTATCGTTATGAAATTTAGGATTTGGGGGTTTTAGGCTTTTTTGTGTGAATTCACTGAAAAGTCTCTTGTTTGCTGCAGTAGAGAAATTTAGAGATTTTCAATGTCAAAGTTTGGATTTTTAAGAATCAAAGATGCCTGCTTGAGAATCGCTGCTGTATTTTGGAGCTGTTTCTTATCTTGGTTTTGATTAATTGGTAATGCTGATGTTACATTTTCTTTTTGTATTTTGAAGGATTTGGTTGTGAAGATGGCATCGAAGTTGATACAAGTTCAATCAAAAGCATGTGAGGCTTCAAAGTTTGTGGCTAAGCATGGAACTTCCTACTACAGACAGTTGTTGGAGAAGAACAAGCAATATATCCAGGAACCTGCCACTGTTGAGAAGTGCCAAGAGTTGTCTAAGCAATTGCTCTACACCCGTCTTGCTAGGTTGATATCTCTCTTCTTTCTCTAGCTCTGAACATTTCCCTGGTCATAGACTCATGGTTACCTTATCTAGATTCTGGTTAGAAAGAGACTTTGTCAGCAAAACCATCTTTTTATTTTCTTCTTTGAGGTATAAAATAGCCAGGGAATGCTGAGCTCATACGAAACTTGGATTTGCATTGTTGTGAAATAATGATCCTTGTTGTTGTATATTGCTGTTCATGGAACTGAGGATAGCCTCATGATCAAAATTGAAATTAAACGTTTTAGTATGCTCTTTATGCTATCTTTGTGTTGAGCTATTTGTCTTCTTTAATCCGTTGTCATAAGTTGCAGAATTGTTTTGCCATGGATTCAAGAGTTTTGGGGATTCACTTTTTGCAATCTTGATTTTGCTCATAGTGTGTTGCTTGCCTCAAGTATCCTAACACTCTTCCACTCCTTATTACAGCATTCCCGGACGCTACGAAACCTTCTGGAAGGAAGTAGACTACGCAAAGAACTTATGGAAGAACAGATCCGGTCTGAAGGTAGAAGATGCAGGAATCGCTGCATTGTTTGGTCTCGAATGCTTTGCGTGGTATTGCGCAGGTGAAATCGCCGGGAGAGGATTCACCTTCACAGGCTATTACCCTTGAAGGAGAGAAACAATAACTTGAAGATTGTGTAATCCCCTCCGTTTTTAGTTTTCATGATTCTCTCTTGAATCGATTTTTTTCCAGTTTATCCCTGAAACGGAGGCTTTGGAGCTGAGAAAATCCATTTTGCTATAACTCTTTGATAAAGATTGCTCTCAATAAGAACAAAATTTCCCAGGAAATTGCTTTCACTATAATGTTTTTGGCCTTGTTTAATATCAATATCAGTAATGATACAAAATTCGAACCATATGATTTGCAATCTATGTGATAAATATCCTCTGATACTCTGTTCTTAACGACCAAATTTTTATTATTTTGATAAAGAACGTCCATATAATCTGAAGATTTGATTGGTGATCACGAAACTTCTTTTTTTTTATATTGTATATGAGAAAGAGGAGGGACGAGAAAGCAGGAGGACCAAGAATGGGACCTTCCATTCCAAAAAGACTCAATTATACTTTTTGGTCAGAATTTGAAAGAACAAAACAAGAAACTTCCACTGGAGAAGGTGAGATAGAAAGATGATTTGCGGTGGTGCTTTGACACATGTTGCTTTAGGCTTAACCGCCTTCCTCCTCTTCGCCGTTGTTCACAGCCAGGTTTATATAGATACTTATTGTTCTCTGTTCATGTTTGTGCGTTGTGGTGTATTCCAAACGATGACTTTTGTTAGCTGTTTCTGATGGGTTGAGACAAAATGTCAGGAGAAGTGCAGCAGAACCTGCATTGCACAGAAATGCAATGGTGAGATTGTCATTTTTCTTATGCATTCCTTTGAACTTGGAGAACATTTCTTAAGCAAAACCTATCTCTGTTTCAGTTGTCAGCGTTCGCTATGGGAAGTATTGTGGGATAGGTTACTTTGGATGTCCTGGAGAGCCACCTTGTGATGATCTTGATACTTGTTGTATGAACCATGACAATTGTGTTGGTGTAAAAGGTAAACCAATCAAGATCTGATTGCACTTTGCATCTTGGATCTGAGAATGATGCATTTGGTGCTTTTTTTACAGGTATGACTTATGTTAACTGCCACAAGCAGTTCCAGCGTTGCGTAAACGAGCTAAAAAAATCAATCCAACAATCTAACAACCAAAAGGTTGGATTTTCCAAGCAATGCCCTTATTCAACAGTGATACCAACCGTGTACAGGGGAATGAATTACGGCATTTTCTTCAGTGGGATAGGTAACTAATTAAGCTCTGGTTTATTAATAACACTAATCACTTATAGACTTTGGAAACCATAAGCTAGTGATGAGACCATATGACTTATGTTACATTGTTTTGTGACATTTCTGAATATAGCACTTACTATACTGTCTTATAATGTTAAAACTGCAAATAGCTCAATTTCAGCTAGTGTTAAAATCCGATAAGATGCGAATAATCTTGTGCAGGTAATATCATTAAACCTAAGAAGCCAGCAAGCGCCGCGCCCGTAGTGGAGGTGGATCTAGCTCGGAGTAAAGCAGACACAAAAGATGGTCTTGGAACAAATCAAGGCCCTCAAACAAAAGATGGTTCCAAAGTCTCTGTTTTGATGAACCCTTCTCCTTCTTGATCATTAGGTGACTCATAACTCTCAAGTTTTGTAGATTCTTTAACTTTGTTTTTTATGAAAAATGATCAAGATCTTGAAATTCTGTCAGGTTCATGGTTTCCAGGTCAAAGCCAAATAGCAGTGACTAGTGAGTGGATTAGCGGACCATGTATTATATACATACTTTAGTTTCTATTGTACTCTAGATGTGAGGATTCAAAACAAATTCATAATCTTATATAGGAAATCAAATGTAGACAACAAAAAAAATGTGTATATGGATATTTTCTAATAAATCAAACATAAACTCGTTTCTTCTTGATGTAAAAGCCAGCAATGATACGAAAATCGAACCTTATTAATCTGCAATCTATTTGTAACAGATTGCATTAAAAAGAATCATTAGCCGTTGCGAATACTCTGATTGATTAATCGTGCTCTGTTCCATGAGGTAGCAAAAATGATACTCTGTTTTTAACGTCCATAAATAATAATTTGTTTGGATAAGGAACATCCATGAAATGTGAAGACTTGATTGGTAATCATGAATCTTCTTCATTTTTTTAAGTCTTGTTGTGTACATAAAAGAAAGAGAGGAGGGACGAGAAAATAGGAGGACCAACAATGGGATCTTCCATTCTAAAGAAACCCAAAAATAGTTTGGGACAAAATTTGAAAGAACACAAGCCAAAACCTCAAAAACTTCAACCAGAGAGCCAGAGATAGAAAGATGATCCCCGGCGTTGCTTTGACACGTGTTGCTTTCGGTTTAACCGCCTTCCTCCTCCTCGCCGTCGTGAGCAGCCAGGAGAAGTGCAGCAACGCCTGCATTGCACAAAACTGCAACAGTATGATTATTGTTTTTTCTTCTTTTCTTATGCCTTTCTTTGAATTTGTGCATTATCTTGTTTTGATCCATCATTGTTTTCAGGTCTTGGCATTCACTATGGGAAGTATTGTGGGATAGGTTACTTTGGATGTCGTGGGGAGCCACCTTGTGATGATCTTGATGCTTGTTGTATGACTCATGACAATTGTGTTGATTTAAAAGGTAAAACCAATTAAGAACATCTATAAAATAACCATTCTTGAGTGTAAAAAAAACTTTGTTAATTTTGGTTTTTATTAGGTATGACTTACGTTAACTGTCACAAGCAGTTCAAACGTTGCGTAAACAAGCTAAGCAAATCGATTAAACGATCTAACGGTCAAAAGATTGGATTCTCCACTCAATGCCCTTATTCTATAGTGATACCAACCGTGTTCAATGGAATGGATTACGGCATTTTCTTCAGTGGGATAGGTAAGTATTGAGCTCTGTTTTATCCATATTGAATTGTTTGCCACTGTAACACTATGAGAATATAAGCTAGTCCTAGTGATGAAACCATATGACTCTCTTTCTGTTGCATTGTGACATTTCTGATTAGAGTACTTAATGTGTTCTTATGATAAGATGTGAATAATCTCTGCGTAGGTAATATATTTAAACCTCCGGTGCTAGGAAGTGTGCCCGTCGTGGAGGTTGATCTCTCTCGGAGTAAAGTGGACACAAAGGATGGCCTTGGAGTTGGAACAAATCTAGGCCTTCAAACAAAAGAAGGCTCTAAAGTCTCTGCTTCTTTAAATATATGAGCCCTTCTACTTCTTGAACATCTTCTAAAGTGACTTAGTTCTCTCTCTCTCAACTTTGCAAATTCTGTAACATATGTTTAACTCTATCACGGATCAAAATCAATGGGTAATCAATGAATTAGCCCACTTTTTTATATATTTTATATTAGTTTTCTTATTTTGGATGTTAGTCACATCACCAAAAACTCCACCACGTCAAAAATAGATCATGAATGATAGATTTCTCTCTTCATTTTTTTTTTGCTTTTCAAGACGCTGAATTTGTCCTTCTGTTTATTATTTTAGAACATTAATCACCATTTTATCTATAAATTATAGATGTATTTTTATTATTTTGGATGTAACTCCATCTCTGTTGCCGTCTTAAAAAGTCCAGGTTGTCTTACTCTTCTTAGTGGGATGTATATGGTCACTAGGCCAATGATGAAAGAAAAGTCTACCAAAACCTGGCTAAATAAGTAAATAAACACATAAAGAGTAGACTTTTTTACTTTTTGGTGTTTCCGTTATCTTAATCGCACGTTGTCTCTTTTTGTTTTTCTCATGAAAAGCTGAAGAACAAACAACTTGAGAAAACCAAAAAAGAGAAGAAGATGAAGGCTAATCACTTTCTCTTTTTCAGCATTTTTTGTGCCCTTCTTGCCATTGTAGTTCACGGCCAAGGCCAATCAGGTTTCTTCTTCTCCTCTCTCTTTATTTGAAATTGAGGCGATGTTCAGACTGATGAAAGCTTGAGTTCAATATAAAGGATCTCTTAAACCTGTCTTGGAATTTTAGTCAAAGCGTAATGTCTTGTGTTGCAAGGAATCATACATTTCTCTCTGTTTTAAAATTTGTAATTGACAGATTTTCTTAAAGGTGCTTGAAAGTTTTGATATATAATATACTCCTATATTTAATTTTTCAATGTTGAAGAAATGAAGTTAAGCAGATTTTTAAACATGTCATATACAATTTTGGCTTTAAAAGTTCTTAAACGTCATATAAAATTTTGCTTGTGTTGGAAGTAATCTTCCTTTTTCTCCTCTGATCCAGGTTACATCAGCATCGACTGTGGCATACCTCCTTACGATACCCCTGAAGACACTATGGCTAACATCAATTACGTCTCCGATGAAGCTTTCATAACTACTGGCGTAAACTTCAATGTCTCTGCAGATTACGGCGCTCTAAATAACCCGGTTTTACCGTCAACTCTTGCTGAAGTAAGAGCTTTCCCTCGAGGAAACAGAAACTGTTACACCATCAAAATTTCACAAGGAAAAGGGAATCTTTATCTCATCAGAGCTTGGTTTATGTATGGAAACTACGATGGTAAAAAAGCTTTGCCTGAGTTTGATCTCTATGTAAACGTGAATTTCTGGTCGACAGTGAAATTCAAGAATGCTTCTGATCAAGTCACCAAAGAGATTTTAAGCTTTGCAGAGTCAGATACAATATATGTTTGCCTTGTGAACAAAGGTAAAGGAACTCCTTTTATTTCAGGCTTGGAGCTCCGGCCAGTCAACAGTTCAATCTACGGTACTGAATTTGGAAGAAATGTCTCTTTGGTTCTCTATCAAAGATGGGACATTGGATATTTAAACGGAACAGGACGGTACCAAGACGATAGATTCGATCGTATTTGGTCTACATACTCCTCAAATATCTCTTGGAACTCGATTATAACATCTGCCTATATCGATGTTTTTCAGAACGGTTATTGGCCACCTGATGAAGTTATTAAGACAGCTGCTTCTCCTACAAATGATGATGATCCGTTAGAATTGTTCTGGACATCATACGATCCAAATGCTCGGTTCTACGCATATCTCTACTTTGCGGAACTCGAAACGCTAGAGAACAATGAAACTAGAAAGATCAAGATTTTGTGGAATGGTTCCCCTGTTTCCAAAACTTCTTTCATTCCTTCTTCAAAATATTCAATGACGTTTTCTAATCCAAGAGCTTTCACTGGTAAAGATCACTGGATTTCTATACAGAAGACCGCAGACTCAACGCTTCCACCAATTCTCAATGCTATCGAGATATTTACCGCACAATCTCTAGATGAAGTTTACACCATAACTGATGACGGTGTGTTTCAATCTCTACTTAGATTAGTTCTGTAAGATTTCTACTGAAACTCACAGTTTCACATTTTCTCGTGGTAATGCAGTTAAAGCCATAGAAAGCATAAAAGCAACGTATAAAGTGAATAAGGTTTGGAGTGGTGATCCTTGCTCCCCAAGATTATTCCCTTGGGAAGGTATTGGATGCAGCTACACCAATTATAATCATCAAATCAAGTCCCTGAATCTTAGCTCAAGCGGATTACAAGGACCAATAGTCTTGGCATTTAGAAATCTCTCCTTTCTTGAGTCATTGTAAGTATACATATACAATTGATACTTTCCACCACTTTTTCACATTAAGTATAAGAGAGGCTATGCATTGTTTTCCCCAGGGATTTATCGAACAACGACCTACAACAAAATATTCCTGAGTTTTTGGCTGATCTAAAACATTTGAAAGTCCTGTAAGTAAGCACATATATACACAGTCTTGGTATATGTAAGTAATGAATTTGCCTCTTGACACTTTTACTTGTGTTGTAAGGAATTTGAAAGGAAACAATTTTACTGGTTTTATCCCAAACTCTCTTCTGAAAAAGTTAAAGGCTGGTATACTTGCACTCAGGTAACACTTTCTAGCATTATACAGAAAGTTATTCAACAGAAGCACTCTCTGAATCTTGTGATTTCCTCTGTTTTTCAGTGTGGATGACCAAAACCTTTGTAACTCACGTTCATGTCAAGACAAGAAGAAGACCAACATGGTCGTGCCAATAGCTGTAGCGACATCAGTGATCGTTCTCATTGTCGTCTTGGTTATCATATGGATCATACTAAGGCAAAGAAAAAAAGGTTAGATGGTTGGAATTTTCACTTCACGGTTAATTATTTGAAGTCAGAATTTTTCTGAGGAAAACAAGTTTTTAATTTCAGGTGCCAATGCAGGACCACTCCTGCCTTCAGGGAAGAGGAGGTTCACATATAATGAGGTCTCTAGAATTACAAACAACTTCAATAAAGTGATTGGTAAAGGAGGGTTTGGTATTGTGTACCTCGGGTCTCTCGAAGATGGGACTAGAATTGCTGTAAAAATGATCAACGATCCTTCATTGGGAAAACCTAAAGGATCTTCAACATCATCATCATCCCGGGCTTCTAACCAATTCCAAGTGGAGGTAATCTATAGTCTAAAGAACACCAAAAACATAATCAGATATTTTAGAAAATGTTATTTTATGGTTGGTTAAGTGTAAAATGTTTTCAGGCAGAGCTTCTTTTGACAGTGCATCACCGGAACTTAGCTTCCTTTGTTGGATACTGCGATGATGATCGCAGTATGGCTCTCATCTACGAGTACATGGCCAACGGCAACTTGCAGGCTTATCTTTCTAGTAATCTCCATCTATCTCTACTTCTCTGTTACCAATTGTTGCTTCCTATGAGCTCACGGGTGTTATGTTTACGGACATGCAGGTGAGAATGCAGAGGATCTTAGCTGGGAAAAGAGACTCCATATAGCTATAGACTCTGCACAAGGTTGGTCCCGGTTTTGACTGCCTTGATTTCTCAGGGACTAACCAAGAATTCAAACCTGGTTTAGCCTAATTCAGTTGTGAAACCTGGTCTTATTCCCCCTTGGCAGGTTTGGAGTATTTGCACGATGGATGTAGACCAGCAATAGTACACAGAGACGTTAAAACAGCAAACATTCTAATAAACGATAACTTGGAAGCCAAGATTGCTGATTTCGGCCTTTCTAAGGTCTTCCCTGAGGATGATCTCAGCCACGTCGTGACTACCGTCATGGGCACTCCCGGCTACGTTGATCCTGAGTAAGTTCCTTTACACAATCAATACAGATCACATGTACGTTGATCAGGAATTGTAACCATTTGGGACTCATAGGATCAAGGCATAGGATACATAATAAACTAAACAAATGCGACGTGTGGTGACAGATACTACAGAACGTTTGTGCTAAACGAGAAGAGCGACGTGTACAGTTTTGGGGTCGTCCTTCTTGAACTCATCACTGGCCAGCGAGCCATCATCAAAACAGAAGAAGGAGACAATATCAGCGTGATTCACTACGTTTGGCCGTTCTTTGAGGCCAGAGAACTAGACGGTGTCGTGGACCCGCTGCTTCGGGGCGACTTCTCGGAGGATTCAGCTTGGAAGTTTGTGGATGTGGCAATGTCTTGCGTCAGAGATAAAGGATCCAATAGACCAACAATGAACCAGATCGTGGCGGAGCTGAAACAGTGCTTAGCCGCTGAACTGGCTCGTGAGCCACAGAGCCAGTGAAAGAGATTACGGAGAACTAGTAGGACGAAGCAAAATTGATTAAAAGAGGTTTGAATTTATGCTCTATATACGTTATTTGTATTGTATGGTCAGATTCATATATGATTGATTGATTGACTATAATTTATAAAAGTGTTTCTGCTCAAATTTTTGTTTATAAATTCGTGTTGTTGTCGTTTTCATTAAAATCATAGTATACTTGTTAATTTTGTGATGAAATTGAATTATGTTTCTCCTAATTGCTTTGGCGCGTACGTGTTTCCAATATGTCAACTTTTTTCGAAATCTTAGGCAATTCTAGGAAATTAACGTACTAATAAGCTTTGAATTAAGTGAATGAATTATAGAGTTTTGTCAGGTTATTTTTGTTGAAAATAAATCAATTAATTTCTTGTCAATTTTTTTTACGCTTCTTGTAAAATAATTTATTTTTGTTTTTTGTATTCTAAAAGACAGTTTACTTCAAAAGATGATATTTTTTCGAAATTTAATTTCATGGTATTTCAGATATCTTTTGTCGGTGTCTCTACACTAATTATAAGACAATTCAAAACATGTTACCAACTAACTCTAAGATCTTTTATATAGTACAAATTTCGAATATAATTCTTTTTTTTTATCTAACACATTATACATAATTACATATCTAGTTATTTTGTAACGTTTTTTACTTGATTAGCTTCATTATTAATTTTTTAAGATACTGGAATACTTTAATGAAAATCTGATAAACTATCAAATCTGAATAGTAAGACAAAATTAATATAACTTTCAAAATTGTGGTAATTTGTTAATTTTTCCTAATATTAAAATACATTCCAAATGAAAAACAATAAAACATACATGATTTCTTTTTTCCTGTCGACATGAAACAACATGTCTTTTTAGTTTTTAACTCGTTTTTCCAAGTTTTTCTTACATTGATTGTTCTTTTGACGCGTAATCAAATCTTCAACACTATTTAACTCGTTTTCCTCACAAGTCAATTTTTTTTTCCCCTCCTCTAATTCACCTTCTGCGTCTTCTCCAAAATCGATACTTTTCTTCGTGTCACGTGAAGGTCCATTTCCTGAGATCACAAAATTTCCGTCTGATTTCCTCAACAAAAACCCTAAAATCCCAGATTTTTCGTTCCAATTGTGTACTCGGAGACTCCCAGACCTCAAAAGGCTTGATCTTTCGTTTCTTTTATCAAGTTTCGCTCCATGAAGAAAGTGCTTCATCGAAGTTTTAAGCCTGCGAAATGGTAAATTTAGTTTCTCATTTTCCTCTTGCTCTGTTCTTGCGATTTTCTTCACATTACCGGAAGATGGATACAATTGGGTGATTGCAAAGTTTTGTCTTTTAATGTTTCCTGATTATTATTTTTTTCAATAATGAAGCAAAATTGCTTTACAAATGGCGGCTTCACGCCTGAAAATCCTGAAGAACAAAAAGGATACACAGATTAAACAAATGAGGAGAGAATTAGCTCAATTGCTTGAGTCTGGCCAAACCCAGACAGCTAAAATTCGAGTAAGTAAGCAATCAAATTTCCATTTGTTTCTATGAAATCTGTGATTTTTGAATCATGGATTGTGAAATGCTTAGGTGGAGCATGTGGTGAGAGAAGAAAAGACAGTGGCTGCTTATGAGCTCGTTGGTATATATTGTGAACTTCTTGTTGCTCGTTTGGGTGTGATTGACTCTCAAAAGTAAGTTTCTTTGTACACACTTGTTTGTTTTTGCTTTATTGTGTTATGTGTTGACCATTGTTTGTGATCTTCTTACTTTAGGACCTGTCCTAATGATCTTAAGGAAGCTGTCGCGAGTGTCTTATACGCTTCTCAAAGGTTAACAGATGTTGCGGAGCTCTCAGATATTGTTAAGCATTTCTCTGCGAAGTATGGTAAAGATTTTGTTTCAGCTGCTATTGGTTTGCAACCGGATTCTGGTGTGAGTCGTTTGGTAAGTTGTTGTTGTACGTGTTCTCTTACTTACTCCGCTGAGCTATGATTGCTTATGAGACTCTCTCTCTCTCTCTCTCTCTCTTTATGCTTAGTTGGTGGAGAAATTGTCTGTGAAAGCTCCCGATGGTCCAACGAAGATCAAAATTTTGACGGAGATAGCTACGCAGCATAATGTAACTTGGGAAGCAGAATCTTTGGTTGAATCAGATCCCAAGGAAACCGTATTGGCTGTTAGTAATACATTTTTCAGTTCAATATTGCCCATGTTACTTTCTCTAGTATCTGTTTCCTCATTAGCATTTTCAATTACTTTGAGCAGAGTGGAGCAAGTTCCTCTCAGTCTCAGTCAGCAACTGGAATAAAGCCGGAGTCTTCAAGAATCCAAAACAATCAACCTCCAGAATTACAAGCTCCAGCTACTGTCAATGTGTCGCAGAATTCATATGCAAGTGATGGAAGATCTTCAAGCCGAATGACATGTACTGATTTCAATGTTGGGAAGACAGCTGATCACTATCATCAAGACCCAAAACCTTCTGGTTAGTTTATCATAAAAAGTGTTTTCTGTTTGATGTTCCTTCTATTTTTGCTGTCGTTGTTTGTTTGTGTTAAGCGTTCGATAAAAACAAATCGTCTTTTTTCAATACAGGAGATAGAACTGACGGTAGAGAACACAGACATCACAATCCAGGTCATGGGGATTCATCTCCATGGGAAACGGAATTTGTTGATGCAACGAGTGCTGCACGTGCAGCTGCTGAATCTGCGGAAAGAGCGAGTTTTGCTGCGCGTGCAGCTGCTGAGCTTTCAAGTAAAGAAAGAATGATGGCGATGCAGAATTCAAAAGAGTCGCGGAACTCATCCTCGTATGATAATTTAAGAAACAATCCCCCACATAGTCGTACTAGTAGCTCAAATGTGCAAAGCGGAGGTTTTGCTAAAGAAGAATTGTTAAGAAGCAGTAACAAGCAAGAAGATCAATCTACTACTAGAGCAGAGTCTTCTAAGAAGACTGTTGATGAGCTATCAGAAAATGCTTCACGGAGGAGAGATCATTCTCGGGAGAACTCATTGGAGATGAGGCCAAATGATTCCTTTGCTAGAATAGGTAGAGAGAAGCAGCAACCAAGTATGGATGATATAAACCGTAGCAGTTCAGAAGATGTTCTAAATAAGCAACAATCAAGCCGAGCTTCATCGCATTCACCGTCAAGCAATTTTTCCGATGAGAATGATGTCACTGCCTTGGACCATATCGATTCACCAAGTATATTGAAGGAAAACCGATTCCAGAGCACTTTTGGAGATAGAGAGAGCTACAATGACGGTCCTGATGTTGTTGTTGCTCCGGCTTTTGATGACTATAGCTCGTTTTTTGACAAACCTCAATTCGACACAGAAGATGCTTGTCACGATGAACCAGAACAAGGATTAGGATTTTCATTGCTTGGTAGTAGCAGCAAAACATCTGATCATATGCCTACAGAGACAAATTCATGGATCTTCGAAGGACACAAGGCTCTGGGACAACCCAGCTCAGCCTCAACCTCACAGGTTCTTGAAGAGGAGAAGCCAAGTTCTCCAATATTTGATGATGGTCCTACAAGTCCCCCAGCTTCTCTGCATGAGCCTGAGCCGTCTGCAAAGTTTGATGATTATGACCGAGATTCTGAAAGTGAAGAAGACAATCTGAGAAACAGTGGAAATATTTCTGGACATGTAGAAGAAAAGCCGAAGCTGAAATCTTACAAGTCCGCAAAGTCTGAAGTTTCTGATGATCTAGGACGCTACTTTTTCCCCTCGGACACAGAAGACCAAGGAGATGATTGCAAGATACAGGAAGAATCCGACACAGAAACTACTACAGGTCTTAGGTTTGAACCTCTAGCCGGTGAACTGAAGAATGAAACGGCTCTCCCAACTTATGGAATGAGTCCGCCAAGAGACAAGACATGGTCCAAATCTGTTAAAGAGCATGTGCCAACAGAGGTTGATCCGTCGAGGTCTTCTTCTTTTCAGACAGACAGGGAAGAACTTTACACTCAAAAAGCAAGCAACATGGACAAAAGACCGAGCTCTATACCTCCAGATTCATCTTCTAGTGATGATGAATCAGAGATTAAACTTCGGGAGAGAGTTTCTGCTAGATACCAAGATAAAAGAGCTGATTCAAGAACCCGGTCCACACATCTACATTCGAGTGTCAGCCATGAGGACTCTAAGGAAAAAATCCCGACTCGAGCTTCTACCAGAAGTCAAGAGAGGAGGACCCACAAGACCACCCCTGCCTCATATTTCCATGCAATATCCAGTGACGATGAAGATGAGAAAGAAGTCTATAGAGATGCTGCACGCACCCAAACCAAGCCTTCTATTTCCATCTCACGAAGAACAAAGGGCCATGAGAGAAGATCATCTCTGGTTACTGCGAAAACTGAGACAGTCTCTCATGATCAAGAATCTCCTCCAAAGCCAAGTCCTGAGGCCAAGCCACTGGCTAAGCAACAGGTATCAGCCTCCTCTTCAAGCTATCTTCCAAAAACTGACAAAGCTTCTCACGGTCAAGAATCTCCTCCAAAGCTAAGTACTGAGGCCAAGCCACTGGCTAAGCAACAAGGATCAGGTTCTTCTTTAAGCTTTCTTCCAAAAACCGACAAAGCTTCTCACGATCAAGAATTTACTCCAAAGCTAGGTCTAAAGGCCAAGCCAGCGGCTAAGCAACAAGGATCAACTACCTCTTCAGGTGCTCTTCCGAAAACTGAAAAAGTCTCTCGCTATAGAGAATCTCCTCCGAAGCCAACTCCAGAGGCTAAGTCACTGGCTAAGCAAGAAGGGTTAGCTTCTTCTTCAAGCTCACTTCCCAAAACTGTGACATCACCTGACCCAGAAACTCTGGCAAAGGAGAAAGCTAGCCATGTTCATCCCAAACTCCCAGATTACGACGACATATTTGCCAAGCTCGGGGCTCTTCGTCGCTGAACTTCTGCTCATTCTTCCCGTCTGTTGATTTATACTTATTCATTCTTTTCTTTGATTGTTTGCTTGTAGATTGAACTTGATTTTCGTATCATGAGGATAATTTTTTGTCGTGAGCTTACTTCATCTGCTCTGTATTTACTGTATATCAGGTTTTTGTTTCCTTCTCATATATATATTTTTTTTTTTTGGTGTCTCAAAAATTGAGTATAGATTTACAATTTGAGAATAATATCTTGATTGGTGTATTATCTTATCTATTTTGGTGGACGAACAGGAATGTTATGCTACCATGATAATAAGAAAACTGTTAAACCTGTCTGTGTATAGATTATTCCGATAGCTATGGAAGAACAAACTTCTCAACTAAAGAAAATGTTGTCATAACAACTAGATCTTCGAATTTAGCAACAAATGTGTTATCTTATAATTGCCAATCTGTTCAAAGACAATGCAAGTTACCAACACAAAAAGCAACAGGAAGAAGGATCGAAACTTCAAACTTTTGTTAAATCCTTATGACACTATAAGGTTCTTGCCAAGTGCTAGCTTAAGCTATTCAGTAAAAGAAACCAAGAACCTGACCACCCACATTCCGTTTGATTGCTTCTTCATGGTCCAGAATTCCATCCGGAGTTGTGATTACAACATAACCCCACTACATGGAACAAATCAACAAGGTTAATCTGTGTTTAAAACAATGCTATTTAGCTGCATTTCTGAATAGGGAGAGAGAGAGAATAAACAAACCTGACGTGTTGGAAGAGTACGTTCAGTGTACTTCTCAATCTCTTTTGCCCTAACGTCTTGCCTATAGGTAAGAGCTTTGCAGTCATTAACCCTCCCTTGCAGATCAACTGTTATTCTACCCACTCTATGTGGATCATAGACTTGAAAGTTCTTGATATAACCTACATTTAGCATTAATATTTTGTCAAGTAAAACACACTAATGAAAAGCCGATTCCATCAAACACTCTGTAACATGTAACGCTACTTACAACTATAACCACATAAAAATCGCTATCTACCAACATTAACCAAAAAAAAATCATCTAACCAACTCGAAATAAATAAGCAGGTCAAAGCAACGCACTGACGCAGACCACCGATAGCATCATAGGAGCAAAAAACATTGAACTTTGTTTCAAGTTTCAATATGTTGTAGCTTCAACATTAACCAAGAACACAAGTAAGTAAGCCCAAGCAGTCTCACGAACTAATTTGAAGCTTCAAAATCAACAGAACTAGATCCTTCACACTAAAATGTCATCAATAACCAGATGAAATGAAATAAGCAAAATCTCGCGTCGATGGAAATTGATGAACTTCCGATGTAAAACTGAGAAATGTGTAAGCATTAAGAACCGATTAGAAAACAAAAAGAAGAAAAATTTCACCTTTCTCCTTCATGATTCTCAGGAACGAAGACATAACGGTGGAGATTGGTTTGAGCTCCACCGAAGCTTTTCCTCGTCTCTCCGCATTCACAATCGTCCTCAACGCATCGTTCAAAATCCTCCTCCCCATTTCGCTCCGGTCGAAAATCCCGACGCTACACAAATCGGAGAAATCTAAAAACCCCAATTTCAATAAGGGTTTGAGTGACACTTCTGTTATTCTCCAGAATCATAAGGGTAGTTTAGTCTTTCTAGGTTAACACGTGCGGGAATTAACCACACGTACGTAAATTTCAATAACTCTCTCTCGTCCTCTCTCTTTCGTCTTCCTTCAATTTCCCAAATCAACAACGCCATGGAAGACTTACCTCCAGAGCTCTTGGTCAAAATTCTGAGTCGACTCAACGATTCCGAATCCCTAGCTCGATGTCGAGTCGCTTCCAAGACATTGAACTTACTTTTTCGAGAGGTTCGCGCCGTGAATCTCACCTGCACCTTGTCCCGGTTCTTAAAATCGCGGTCCATCGTCGTCGTCACACCGTTCAAGACGATATTTAGGAGCCTAATCGAGAATTCTTGTAACATTCGCTCAGTCTCAATCGGAGTCGATAAGGCGCTTAGGGGATTGTCGTTTGACGACTTGAATGAAGAAGATTCCAAGGATTTGTACCTGACCGATGTCGAATTCGCGAAGGAGTGGTTGCCTAGGGTTTGTGAAGACCTGGAAATGTTGTCAATTTCGGATTTCTGGATTCAGTCTTGCTGGAGAAAGTCGGATATTTTGGCGCTCGTTTCTTCAAACTGTAAGTTTTGATTCTTCATCATCATTTCCTCTAGATTCTTTGGGTATATGATCTCATTCTCAGAAAATTAGTTAAGGTAATGTAGTCTCATAGCTCAAAAATGATCAATAGTAATTAGATTAAGTCTATTTGTATCTTGCAGGTAGTAAGTTAGTCAAACTAGAGGTGAAGAATGCTTGGCTCTCAGTTGTTGGCCTGAGGGAGATGCCCAATCTCAGACATTTGACCCTTGAGTTTATCCGACTTGATGATGAGAATCTAGAGAAGGTCAATGATTGTTTCCCTTTTCTTCGAGTGCTGAATTTGATTGGTGTTGGAGGACTTAAGGAACCGAGAATTCATTTTCTGCATCTAAAGAGTTGCCATTGGACTGTGTCGAATGCTCCACTTTCCTTGGCTATAGTGGCGCCAAACCTTCTTGAGCTCAAGCTGAAATGCAACAAGCCTAAATCTCTTATACTTGAAACGCCCAAGTTGGTGAAATTCCATTTTTCTGTAGAGGATGCGGAAGGTGTTAGTTTCGGAGAGTTTCGAGATCTGAATTCTTTAGAGCTCATATCTCCTGACATGTACAGACTAATCAGCAACATCCGTTTTGGCAACAAGATCAGAAAGCTTGCAGTGGATTCAGTAAAGTCTATAGAACAATCTGAGAAGTTAGAACTTGGACTGGGAACACTCCTCCAAGGATTCCCTGACATTACTTCTCTTAGTTTGAGTCCCAGGACTTGGTCAGATATCGAAACACATTTCCAAAGCCAAGGCCTAGGACATATGAAGGGAACAGCCAGCCTGAAGCAAATAACAGCACGTGTTCAGATGTCAGATCATACCAATGTTCATCAAACAGTTTCTTTCATCAGGTCTATTCTTAATAGATACAGAGGTTTGACAGACATGAGACTGATGATTCACCAGGACAAAGATCCTAGGGTAAGAAGCAATCTGATATCGGCGTGTATGATGAGTAACCAGAGAGTGAGATGGAAATGGGGAATGTGGGCTGAAGGAGGTGAAGATATGTGGGTCTAAGACCTAACATTCAAGTCTGAAACTTGAATTCTCTCTTGTATATACTTGTGATGATGATGATGATGATGATGATGATGATGATGGTAACAAAGAATGTGTCAAAAGTGTTTCCATATATTGTGTTGTGCTGAAACTTGTCATGTATTTATAAAGCTTTTCATGAAGAGTTTGTATACAAATATAGAGATTTAGTCACCATGTAAGGTCTATAGCTTCACCGTATAAAACAGAATTTGGATTTGCTCCATTGAAGGAAACATATATTTGTTTGTTTGATAATTTTTATTTATCCAGTTAAGTGTTCAATTTTAGTCTAACGGATGCAGAGTTATTTGGAAAATTTAGCATGGGTGAAGAAAACAAAGTTTAGTTGGCACAAAAAAAAATGTTTTAAAAAGGGGCGTTCCGAGAATCGAACTCGGGACCTCTCGCACCCAAAGCGAGAATCATACCACTAGACCAAACGCCCTTTTGATGAAACGTCTCGTTTAATTTTAATTGTCAAATTATTATCACCTCCCAGAACTAAAATTAGGGTTTTGCAAAGAGTGTATATATATATTAAAACTCATCGTTCTCATAACTTAACTCCGGCACGAGTCTCGTTCTCTTCTCTATTCCGCCGTCATCTAGGTCTGCGAATATCACAAGGTGAGCTTTGAATCATCGCTTTGCTCGTTTTATGTTCTTCAATCTGTTTAGCCATTGATTGATCGTTTAATATATGTTTTGTTGATAAATGCTTTCTTCTTAAAAAAATTAGTGAAGTAGCTCGAAATGGCAACAGTTCCAGGACAGCTTATCTGGGAGATCGTGAAGAGAAACAACTGTTTCTTGGTGAAGCAATTCGGTAGAGGTAACGCTAAGGTTCAATTCAGCAAAGAGACCAACAACCTCGTCAACATCAACTCTTACAAGCACTCTGGTAATATACAACTGTTACTCATATCGTTTTGTTGGTTACTAGCTGTTTGGTGATTGGGTTTGCATTAGTATTTGAAAATGTGATTAAAGTTTGAGTCTTTCTAATATGATTGCAGGTTTGGCTAACAAAAAGACGGTGACTATTCAGGCTGCTGACAAGGACCAAGGTGTGGTACTCGGAACCACCAAGACCAAGAGACAAAACAAGCCTAAGCTCTCTGTTAACAAGTCTGTCCTCAAGAAGGAGTTCCCGAGAATGACTAAAGCTGTTGCCAATCAGGTATTACTCATTTTCTTAAGATCATTGTCTGTTATGTTATTGTTGCAAATAGGTTACATTCCAATTAGTTTGGTTACTTTTTACTGTGATTTGTGCTCATTAGCTTTTTGATACTTTAGGATTGATTATAGTTTGGTTCTAGAGCTGTGATGAGAAAGCTAACACGTAAGAAGAGGTATTCCTTTGTGGTGTATTTCTTCTATGAAATATTTTTGTTACGCTTGGCTTCTGAGCTAGAAACTCGTAGTTATTGTTTTTGGACAATTTAGTGATTTTTTTCTTGTGACAAATTTCATCTGTGATGAGAAACCTATTACAAAGTGTATTGAAATGATACATCAGGTTTGATAGTAGTTTGGTTTTTTGAGCTGTGATGAGAAAGCTAACACGTAAGAAGAGGTACTCCTTTGTGGGGTGTTTCTTCAATGAAATACATTTGTTACGCTTGGCTTCTGAGCTAAATGCTTAGCTATTTGTTTCAATTTATTGATTTAGTCTATTTTATCTGTTTAAATTTTAGCTGTGATGAGAAAGCTAACACGTAAGAAGAAGTACTCCTTTGTGGTGTATTTCTTCAATGAAATACATTTGTTACGCTTGGCTTCTGAGTTAATAATAGTATGAATCATAATCATATTTAGAATTTGAGATTACTTTTTTTTAGTTTGCAATTCCTATCAGTGATGAGAAAGCTAACACGTAAGAAGAAGTACTCCTTTGTGGTGTATTTCTTCAATGAAATATATTTGTTACGCTTGGCTTCTGAGATAAATCTTTCTTCTGTGTAACCATTTCATATTGCTTTTGTTTTTTTTTTTATATCAGTATTAAACGATTACTTGTCTAATCTTTTCAGGTGGTAGACAACTACTACAGGCCTGATTTGAAGAAAGCAGCACTTGCTAGGCTCAGCGCCATCAGCAAAGGTCTTAGAGTCGCCAAGTCTGGTCCCAAGAGGAGAAACAGACAGGCTTGAACAATCCACCATTGAATATTTGTTTACTTATAAAAAGCTTGTTGTGAGCCATTAAGAGTTTCAGACAGCATTCTGAACAGTAGAGTGTTTTGCTTGAACCACCAGCCCTTGTCATCCTTTTTTCACTAAATGATATTAAAAGAATTCTTATTAGCTTTTAGCCTTTAAACTACCATCATTGGCTTTTATCAAGAAAGAACTACAACTACTCTCCTTGGCTGCCTGCTCTGACTTCTCAATACTTATAACTGTGCGCAAGTGCTACATAGATGACATTTTGATGTTTGTGTTTACATGTAGTTGATCATGAATCATGGCGATGTGATTCTAATTTCCCATAGTTCTTAGTTATACACCAATTGACTAATATATCATGTAATCCAAACAGAACATATGTAAACTCTTGTGGCCCTCTAAAACAGAAGTAATCTAAGGGGTTTATGTTTATCTATAAGATGTTATATCTTGTGGACTCTGAAACCAGATTCCTCAGATGTCATATTCTCCTTCCAGCTCTCGAACTCAGATCCACCAAACACAACTTTCTTTATCCCGACATAACTGGAGACAAACCAAAAACCAATGTCCACACATTTAAAACATGTCCATCTCAAAAGCTTTTTTGAGTTAATAGACAGAGAGAGAGAAAGTGAGAACTGCACTCACTCTGAGCTGATTTGTGTCAATGCGTTTATCAGAACATCAAGAATCAAAGGCTCCGAGGTCCCAATATCGAGCCTGTCAAAACAATCATTCGCGTTAGAGAAAAAAAACACAAAAGTTTGCTAAATCTAAAGCCACAAGACTTGAAGAAACATGTTTTTAGGGTGTATAAGAGTTATCACCATATGCGAGCGATGTTGTCTTGGACCTCAAGATCCCCGATGTTATAAAACGTGGTGGGCTCAACATTAGCTCCAAGTATAGCATCATAGTTTGGCCTCTTATCCAGTGGTGCTTGTGATAGCTGCACCATATGGGGAAAAAGAGAAAACAGCTTAATGCTTATATTGGGATAAAACAAAAGGAAACCGAATAGATAAATGTTTTCACTTTCTCGATCAGAGACATACTTGCATATTCATGGAGTTGTATCCACCAAGTCGTCCAAGGATATGCCATGAACGGATTGTCTGCAACATTTAGCCATCAAAACAAAGCAATAAGTGATTTGTTCAGGTTTTTTTCAGAGTATAAGAATGCTAAGATTTGGTTTGAAAGACTCACATCAGATATCAAGGCTATGTCTTTATCCAGAGGAGCATTGTAAAACTCCAACCACATGTATGAATTCGAATACTCAAATCTTACAAAACAACAAAACCAAGAGAAGTTAATAAACATTGATAGAACATAAAAATAAAAACAATGAGAAGAACAAGACACTGATATCAACAACTACTGAACTAGCAGATCAAATGTGCAAGCAAAATCAACAAAGAGAATCACATATAACCCTTTTTAACTTCAAAAGCAACAAAGATCACTCACTTGTTAAACGTCACTTGCATCGAAGTTGCAGAACCGGTCTTAGTATGCAGGATTTTGTTCCTCTTCTTCCTCAACCTCTCTTCCATCTATAAAGAGTTCATTGATATCCCACCCATTTCAAAACAACAATCAAAGTCGACCCAAAAATCAAAGTCTACACTAAATTTCAGCTCAAAAACGTTACTTTACCAATTCATCAGCTCAACAAGTCGAAATGATAAGATCCACAGATCAAAGTATAAAACTTTACCTTCTTTTGAGCTTTCTCTGGGTTATCTAAACAATCTCCAAGAATATCCGCGAATTCTGGGTCTTTGTCGTAATCTATCTTCCCTTTTTTCGCTTTGTAAACGCCTCTCTTCCTCGAAGACAACTCATCTTCTACCTCTTCATCATCTCCATCTTCTTCTTCAAATTCTTCAACATCTTCTTCCATTTCTCGACCTATACCATTTACTCGCAACTTTCCAATCTTCCTCGACCAATTCGTACGTATCTCCTGAATCTTCGGTGACGAAATCGTGCCGGTGAGTCGAAACGGCGCCAAATTGTAGGAACAAAGAATCGAGTGGTTGTGGTTCTTCTTAGCAATAGAAGGCTGAAGAAGATGAAGAGAACATTGAAACCTTAGCATTATTTTATCTTCTTCTTCTTCACTTAAGCTCTGAGTTTCTGACTCTGTGCTCGACTCTGGGTTTTGGAAGAGATATAGTGAAGGGTTTATCGTAGCTAACAGTGAGCTTGAGCGTACACGAATATTATTGCTTACGTGGCAAAACAAGCTCACGCTTTCAACCCAACAAGGAATCTAAATGATAGCAATTGAGGCCCATTAAGAAATCACTAATGGGCCGTATCGGTACAGATCGTCTTCATCACTTAAGTATCAGTCACAGAAAACCCTAATCCCTGAGAAAACCTAAAAGCGTCGTCGCACACTATATAGCCGGAGAGAGCGCCAATTCCGCCGTCCCTCGTTAACAATCATGGGTAATTTCTCCTTAAACGTTTGATTCCGTATTCAATTTTCAAAGTTTTCCTTCCGATTCTTCGTTGTTATTGATGCTTTTGTCTTTGATTTGATTTGGAATCATAAGGTAAGGTACACGGTTCATTGGCTCGTGCCGGTAAGGTGAGAGGTCAGACACCGAAAGTGGCAAAGCAGGATAAGAAGAAGAAGCCACGTGGCCGTGCCCACAAAAGGTTGCAACACAATCGCCGTTTCGTCACCGCCGGTAATATATTCCGTTTCATTTGTTAACTTGAGATTTATTTAAGATCTCTGATCTGGGTTGTTAGTTGAGCTAGTGTTCTTAGGCTTCTGGCTAATTGAATGAAATTAGCTAAGTTTTAGTAAACTTATAAGTTTCTACCATTTTTGTAGAAGATATGGCTTAGTTATGTATCTTGCTTTCTGATTATTGTGAGACTTTTGCTGAATCTGTAATTGTCTACTACACTCATTTGTTGTTATGTATATACATATGTGTTTCGTTTTGTAGCTTATTTTCTTTATGAGAGGTCTCAGATTTTGATTCCTTCAATTTTGTTATTAATATCATCTCTTTGCAAGCTGGTTCTCAAGTATTTTCCTCTATATTTGTTCTTTTTCAGTTGTTGGATTTGGCAAGAAGAGAGGACCCAACTCTTCTGAGAAGTAGATGATGATGATTATCACACTCCTGAAGCTTGAAGTTTTACCTTCTTTGTTTTGCTTTCTCGTTTAGTGTGGTGTTCTTCTGATGATGGCCATAAGTTAGTACGAATTCATCTTTGTTATCGATATTTGCCCATTTGGTTTATCTATAGACGATGTAATTTTCTTATTCATTTCTCAATCCACTCGACTTTTGACCATATCAAACGTTATTTGCAACCTTTTCTGATAGCATTCTACAGTCACTGTTTATATTCGAGCCAAGTACATATTACTCAACTGATTTGCTCTTACAGATACAAAACTGTACTGCATTATGCTCATTCAGATACAAAACTTATGTAATATGATGTCCATATGCTTGATATAAGTATACGCTCTGTACAAGAAAGTTTATCGAGTAAAAAGGATACAAGGCTAAAAAATTTCTTTTAGCATTTGATGTTACAATGAAAAGGTTAAAAAAAAAAGTAAACACTATAACACTGTACACAAAGACCATCACGGTTTCTTTACTTCCAGACCTTAATGGCTCCATCTCTGCTGCTTGATATCAACAGTCTCTGGTTCAGTTTCACAGATGCCAGAGACTGAACTGAGTCACGGTGACAACCTGCTGTGTCTGTCGCAGCAGCCGCAAGTACCGCCTTTGCCGTCAGTTTGGTTGCCAGAGGCCGTCTCTTTGTCTCCTGCCAAAGTATACAAAACACAATTTCATCATAAAGATCATTATATAAGACTGCAAGACATCGTTATGCGAAGATCAAAGATATTATCTGATCAACAGACCTGAACAAATTGCACGCCGGAGTTGGTTTTTAGTTCATAGAAATCATCATTTCCGACTCCTTTTAAACTCGGACCGCATATACAATAACTTCTCTCAGGGCTGTGAAAGTCCAAAACACAACAAACATGAATTGCGTCAGTTTCTTTTTTTTAAAATTATCCATAAGAGGTGTGACGAAACGTTTGATTGTAAATACACCAGTTAAAGTTTTAGATTTAGGACCTGGAGTAATCCCAACGCCGAATCTTCAAGTCAGTACCACCTGTTAACAAGTCACCTCCAGGTAAAGGAAGCAAAGAGCGGATACCAGGAAGACGAGGAGGAGGCTCGTTCAACTCTTCGATTCTGTACTTGGAGCTCATGTTCTGGCGAAGATTCGGCTTGGGATTTACCTTATTGCTTGGTAACTTCCATTGAAACTCGGAAACATCCGTCTCATTTTCATAGTTGGCTACTCTCAATACCTACAGAATCCCAACAGAATCAGCTCAATTACAAGTCCAAATCTGTATCCAACTCAAAGATATGGTCTAATCCATCAAAACAGAGTTTTTTTCATGGATTAATTCAAAAGTGATCCCCCCACCAGTGTTAAACTATCTCCATCCGTATTCAAACTTGCGACCCCAACAGAAAAACCATAAGTAACTCAAGAAGGTTCAATAGCCGAAGTCAAGGTGTATTACAATGGTAGAACAACATTACCTGGTGGCAGTTACCTCCCTCTGCATTCCAGAGTGAAACTTCGTTGCAACCGGCAGCAACATAAATAAAAGGCCTCATAGTGGTGGACACTGAGGCGCTTGGAGGAAGAAAGCAGAGGCACATCTTCTCTATGGGGCATATGATAGGGTATTGCCACGAATTTACAGGAACACGAAATCTCAAATCCCAAAGAGTAAGCACTCCCCTTGAAGACCCAGAGACAAACCAATTCCCGCAAGGGCTTGTAACCAAAGAAGACACATATCCTTCTTCTGGGTTTGCTTTCAGTGTCCATGCATCTAAATCTGATCTTGTATCCCAAAGATGGATTCCGCAGTTTTGGGTACTATACATTACCATCGGACCAGAAAGGCTATCAGCGGTATAATTCAAGAGAGAAACTAGAGCGCCTTCTTTAACATCCTTCTTTTTAATATCAACAATGCCTGAATACTTCTCCACTACGTTCCCCAAGCCTCTGGAGATATGGTCAATTGAAAACATATGTATCACACCATCAGAGGCTCCAACTACAACTTGTGTTGTATTCCGAAGCATTGCTGTGCACATCCCTCTGCTTCCCTCGAGATGATATGTTAGCCTTGACCTAAAAGAGATGTCCTTTTCCAGTTTTCTAGAGTCCCACACCTTCACTGTGGAATCATCTGATGCACTAACAAAAAAGCTATGATCGCTTGAAGTGGCAATGTCGTTGACCGCAGAGCGATGCTCCTGTAGATGAGCAACTAATACTCCACGAGGCTTCCACCCTGAATCCGGAACCGATGTCCTTGACATAGATGGCTCTCCTACAAGATCCGCTGGAGAAGAAGCATCTTCTGAAGTTACAGAAGCACTTTTTGAGGAGCTTGATACTCCGAGGTCTTGAAATTTACTGATGGCTGAGGAGATTTGATCATTTTCTCTGCTTTCTGGCTCATGTACCACTCTGTAAAATTGTTTAGGATTGGTACCGACATGGAATGAACCAGAAATCAGCTTAGGCACTGGGACCGAACTAGCCAAGTTAAATGATTTACTCATGGAATCCATCCATGGCACAGACAATGAACCCATTCCCAGAGAGTTCATCTGCAATGAAGACTCAGAAGCAACAGGAGGATTTGTAGCTGCTCGTTTGTCCATGCTAAACGAATAGAGAGGTATGTTCTCTGGTTCAATAAAGCTATTCATACCAGATACATATGGTGCCATAAACCCAGAGAACTGTAACTTCTCTGGATACACGGGATCACGTAGCTCAACAGTGTTAGAAGCATTAGGTCTTGGGTTTCTCGGGATTCTTAATTTAGCATCCTTTTCTGCATACTTTCCTTGAACTTCTTGTTGCTTCGATGCACTCTTAATCTGTTTCTGTCCTTCCACACTTTGCTTCTGTTCGGCCCTGCATTCTATTGAATTCAACTCCCCAGCATCTTTGTCAAACAAATCAACAGATTCCCAATCTTTGGATTGAGGTGAAGAACTATACCACATCTTTCGCTGTTTCGCCATGAATTCTGGGTTCCTGGCTTTTTCAAAGATACGGTAAACTACCTCCCTTGTGACTGGGGGCTTCAAACATGAAAGTAGACCTTCCTCAGAAGCAATTGACGCAGGCAGTCTACTAAGATAAGAGCGTATTACTGGGGCAATAAAAGCATAAGAGTCGACTGCACCTAAGCATTCACTACTTGCGGCAATGAAAGTGACAACTGCCCTCCTTACCCATTGAGATGGATAGCACAACAAAGGATAAACACACTCTATCATTTGGAGGAGAGCTCTCTTCCGCAAGAAACTACTCTTGCATAATGTGGATAAGCACTCCAATGCATTGACAATGACAGCCTCTGTCTGATCACTCAAAGCTTGATCGATATAAGGCAATAGATACTCCTCCACACTTCTCTGACCAACAAAAAAGCATACATAAACAATCTTCTCAAAGAATACAGATCTTAGCTGCTCATCTCTGTCGTTTAGAAAGGCAGGGAGGATCGGTAGTAGAAAGTCATTACTCTGCCTCTGACCAAAGAAAAAGCAGAGCTCCCCTATGTCCTGAAGGAGTGCTCTTCTAACATTTGGAGTTTGTTTTGGACCCATAACAAGCTCTTGAACAACTTCGGCTATAGTTTTCCTAAGCTGTTGAAGCTGCGCATTGCCATTTGCCTTTTGCAAATGACTAGGGGTCTCACTAGCAGGTGTAGTGGAGATCTGCTGGGAATTCAATTCATTAAGAACCCCAACATCGCTCAACTGGAAAGAATGTATCAAGAATCCATAAGCCGTAAGAGCGAGTTTTGCAATATTGCTGGCATAGCATATCCTCACACTCTCTTCCGTATCTTCAGGAAGCATGGAGAGCATCGGAAATATGTACTCTGGGAAAATCTTCGCATCACTAGGAGGAAAATCTCGGACAAGCGGCAGAATGTCACACAAAGTTTCCATGGCAGCGCACCGCACGATTGCTGTTGGATCAGAAAGTAAGGCAACGACGTATGGAAGTACACGCTGTAAGCGATCATCATCATCGATATACAAAGAGCAAGATCTCAATAGAAGTA